AAGTCCTGCGGACTCGGATGACATCGGCTCAAATCGGTGTGTAGGGACCCATTTCTGGGCTGTTTGGGGTTCATCTCTGGAAACCCATCAAACAACTTAGGGAGAAACACAGGGCTCGGCTATAAGGATATAAGGCTAGTTCCCAGAGTTCAAGGTTTAAATGGGCTAATGGTCAAAATGTGTTTCACACCAGTTGGTAGGTGGTTTGTCTCAATTTGTGTAGGGTGATCCATCCTGGACGGTGCAGGATTTTGTTGGTCACCCCTTTACACGGCTCTGCACTTTTGCGGAAGCCCATACAAATGAACCAGTAGTCTTGGAGTCGGTTGCTTAAAATCCGATCCGAATCCGTAATCCAGAGTCAAACACTGTTGTTGCTGTGCTTTTTCCTTTGGCCACCCCCAAACTCCCTAAAGGTCGCGCATTCAGTGCTCAGTGGGGCGCTACTACAATTAAAGGAAACCGTCTGGCATAAGGACTCAGTACTGATGTTGAATAATCCAGAAGATTTGTTCACCCTTTTTTGCAAGGTGAATAAGGAACACCAGAAGAGTGTGCCTGTGTTGAGAGCATCCTTTCTCTCTGGTAACAAGAAAATCAAAAGGGCAACCAGCCATTTGTGGAGTTCACTTTGAGACCCCAGAATATCCCCCCAAAAAAGAATAGAAACACGGCAAGCAGATTCAAAAGCGGCCCAGTGGAACTCCTACCTCTTTCCAGTTGTTAGCCCTAGATATACATCCCCATGTCCATGACCACCAAAGGGTCAAAACAAATTGACGTATCTGTTCCCGTTAGCCCAGGTTGCCAAGAACACCACTAAAACCCCAACCAACCCCAAACCCACCCAGAACCGTGATTTGCTTTTGCTTCCTACTGATTTTGGCTCAAGGCCTTTCTTCTTTTCACACCTTGCGTGTGGCCCATCATCACAGAGAAGGAACCTTGCGGTATGACTCGCAGGTACAACCTCTACATATCTATTTACCAGACACATCCATTGGTCAATACATCCACTAGGTGTACATCAAGAGGATCCTACTGAAATAGGTCCAGTGCCAAACGAGCACCGTTACTACAGTTGCTTAGGGATCAACCACCCCCGGTTTGGGACTCAATTGTGGTGGCGGGGCGGTTTTCAAGAAGATCCAGTCAAGATGTCATCCGACGGAGAAGGCTTCATGGAGGCCTATTCCGAACAGCCGCCATCGTACGACGGAAAAGTCAGCTAGTTCAGGGGGAACTTGTGGATGATTGGACGACATTCACCACGAGCGAAGCATCCAAGAGAGGACCTCTCCTCAAAAGCAGGCTCGTTGGCGACGCTCGCATGTACAAGGAAGTCCTTGACAACGAGTTGCCTCAAGATCCCGCCGAAGGAGTCAACTACTCTAAGAACACGCTGAAGAAGCACTTCCTAAAGGGAACGAGGAACCGCCAAGAGTTTCTTGCATCCGTCCAAGACGCAAACCAAAGGAAAATTGTGCACCAGCAATGCCAGGGCACCGCCTCCACCTCTGCTTGCCGCAGACGATCCAGAAGTACTTAGACAGTACTCAACGGCGTGCAGAATTTTTACATCCTAGAACAAGGAGAGCTACGAAGAAGAAGAAGAAGGCTTTCAGGTTGAAGATGAAGCAGGACATGAAATTTTCATGGCAGACATTTTGAGCTCTCGAGGAGAATGACGTGTTCATTGCTAGAAAAGTGTCTGGGTCGAGTTTAAGATTCGGAACAGAAAATCTAGAAGCAACAAGGGCAGTCACCGACGAGAGGGCTCTGTTGACTGTGCCGTATAAACGGGCATCAGGTCATTCCAGGATGCCTTCAACCTCCAAATGTAAGAATGAGGAAATCCGAATTTTGTCGTCGATGATTGAAGAAGCTGAGAAGCCGGTAAAGATACACGAGATTGCTGACCATCCAGAGCCTACCTACGCCGGTTGGCCAAGCTTGGGGTCAATCATGGAATTCAGCGCAGCAGGCTGGTCCTCATCCCATGAACTATCCAGCACAGAACATGCAATGGTCGCTGCTGCGTTTGAGCAGCATGAGAACGAAGCCATCCAGCGACCAAGCTGATGGCGCCTACCATCAACCCACAGAACAATCCAACCGGTGCAACCAGATCCATGCCAAGGGAAGACCGCCAAGCTCAACTGCGCCTTGCCTCTTAAGTCTCACCGGCATCCTTGAACATGGACTCCTCAGTATCAGTCAGATGAGGAACCCCTACATGACCATCGAGCATACTCCTCAGTGTGACAAGATCACATGTAAGGCTTTTGGGATGGGTCAAGCAGCTCCAATATCCATATCTCAGAAACAGGATCTCAGAAATAGGATCATTGGATCTCAGAAGATAATCGGATCTCAAAAACGGGGAACAAGCAGCTCACTCGTGTTCACATCACGCCAAGGCACTGTTCACGCCATCAAGAGCCAAGGAACGTCCAATTGGTCCTGACAACATCAATCATTGATGCATACAGGGGCGGAAGTCCTTTGAGACAATTGGACACTTACATCCCAGGCGGTCAATCCAATGGTGAACCTCTAGAGGTAAGATCATCTTCACCTTCTCCAACAATTCGCTCCAAGGCGAAGAAGCAAATTCAGCATCTGCTGCAGACAGGATCATCAACAAGAAAGGCCGGTCGACCATTGACCCAGATCCTTTTGCACCATCCACTGACGAACCAACATCGCTTGCCCTTGGCTTGCCCTACGCACAACCCGTCAGCGATTGTCAAAGCCAGAAGAGTTGAAGAAGCCCCACCTCCAGCATCATCACATTTCGATTCAGAACGCGTGCGCTTCATTTGCCAAAATCGACACACGATCTGTTTGACGTTGCTCACTGCAGAGGGCAGCGAACACCACGCAGAAAGTCAAGAACATCACCGTCCTCAGGAACTACTTTGACCAGTACCACTTGCAGCCCACATCAGTTGTCGCAGAGCAAGCATTCATGACTGAAACATGAGAGCACTTCTATTAATCCCTCAACATCAAACCACTCCCGTTGGGACCACCGTGGCCAAACCGGGCTGAAGCAGCAGTTCAACTCTTGAAGGCAGAGTCCAAGATCATGCTCAAGAAGGTCACGCACAGGCAACTCGTTAAGGCCGCTGCAACTGTCAAGAACCAGACTGTCACCTGCGGGGGTGTAACACGCATTCGGAAGACGACCCCAGCAGATCTCACCCAGCTCGACGCCGCGACACCTAAGCAATACGATCACAGGTGCAACCTCTATGCAACCTCTACATATCTATTTACCAGAGACATCCGGTCAATACATCCACTCGGTGTACATCAAGAGGATCCTACTGAAATAGATCCCGGGCCACACGAGCACGGAACAAGTGCCCCGGTTTGCGACTCCCCCCCCCTCCCCCCATCGACTCAACTCGGATCCTGAGGCCGGGTCAGCACCGAGCGCGCCAGCTCCGGGTGGGTCACCACCACCATCGGCTTCGGGCCCATGAACATCTTGAACATCCGGGGGTGCCTGAAAACTTGGCCAAGGCCTTGCGCCTTGTTTCAGGCTATCAACCTCTCTGTGTGGTAAAGACAGGGAAACCAAAAGGACACCCACCATTTGGGGGGTGCTAAAATTAAGAAGCACCCACCCAAACGGCTACCCCCAAAAACCTCCTGACAAAGGTGCTCCTGCTCCTAAAGTAGCCGTAGTATAGTACATGTACTTCACATTTAACCCGCTTTAACCCGCAGGAGTAGTTGGAGGTGGAAGCCATGCTGGATCCAAATGACGTGCAAAAGGGGGTTAGTAGGGATTGAACATGCTGAGGAGCCCTCTCATCAAACAATTGCCCACACGCACGCGCACACACACACACACAGAAAACCTGGCGTGGACCAGAACATGTTCTGAAAGGTTGTAAGGTTTGAGCATCTTCGGGTTCGTCGGGAAACTCGGTCCAAGTGACCTGCGAAAAGGGATTCCGACACAAATATTGTTCAAAAGGATAGCAGGGCTTGAACGTCTCATAGGTTCGCGGAAAATGAATCAGACAACTTGCTCCCAGCATGCTGACACTGGATGAATCAACTGCTCGGATGAATAGAGGGGTGTCGTTCAGAAGGTCAGGGATCCCAAATTAGGACACGCCCTGTTGATCAACCTGGGGTTCAAAACTCCTGGGTTCCCTTCAGGTGAAAGGAACACTTTTCCCCAGGGGTTCGTAGGGTTTGAATATCCGGGGGATCTCTTGCGAGAAAAGCTTGTTCCAAGTGACCTGCAATGGAAGGGCCCAGCAAAACAAGCTGTTTCTCCACCTGGCCTGCAAGAGGTGTGAACAATTCGGTGAAGGGGGAGGGCGAAAAGGCTAAGGGTCAACTCTTTTGTGAGTGGGCGGGCACCGGCTGTCTTTGTCCAAAGGGTCAAATGGCTAGGGTGTTCGACAGGAAACCAGGCGACAAACAAGAAACCCAAAAGACACCAGTGGTGATCATAACCTGCATGTTGGGCGTTCAAGTGAGTGAGGGGGCCCATTTGGCGCACTCTTAATTGGGAACCCATGCAGGCAATGACCCTGGAGATGACATCTTCACCAGAGCGTAGATGAAGCGATGAGATTGGATCCATTGACACGGCTGACATATCTGAGGCCAGAACTCATCGCCCATTTGCATGAGAGCCTCAGTGTTGGACCCCAATAGCAACCGGATCCACAAACGGCGACCGAATCGAAACACGGCTCACTGTCAGCTGAGCGGCCGATGCCAATCGATTTCGTGCGGAGATGAGGAAAAACTTGCCTGCCACGCGATAGCCCGATTCGAAAGCAAAAGAGCACATCTGCCAATCCTCTGCACTCAACTCCGAAACCACATCCTGGCACAACTCCAGTCACTGCACTACTGTTGATAGAGAGGAAACCCATAAAATATTCACTTGCCAACTGGTGCCGAATTTGTTCAGAAAAAGTAGGTCGTGAAAGGCGGTGACCCTCCAGCATCTGCCGCGCGGTTTTACCAAGAGGCATGATGGGGTCTGGGTTTGGTGTCGCTCCCAGTGGTTGGTTCCACATGAGACTGACACGGCCCCTCTCTTCAGCAGCTGATGTTAAAAGTTCAGCCGCCCGGGTGCGAGCAAGCCAAAGATAGAGGAGCCATTGGGCCAAAAACGTGGCACGAGGCGCCAATCTGTCATCAGGCACCTCGTGCTTTCATGCAGAAAGTCTAGCTAAGCCACACGAAGCACAAATTGCTAGGGAGATCGACGGCATGTTGTTCAAATCTTAAACACTCAACCTGTTCCCAACTCCCTACGCGCCGGTTTTGTTTGTCCTAGGTGACAGCCAGCGAACTGTACAAAAATCGAATCAGGTCTGTCCAGCCGCCAGTGCCAAACCTCATCATGAAGCTCATTGCGCAAGATGCTGAGATGCAAAGTGCTCATCCGAAACTGATTGGCATCAGTGGGAGGTGCATTGTGTTCAAGCTTTCCGATAGCACATATGGCTCGCACCGATTACCTCCTGCAAACTCCCGTGAAGCCACCAAGCTTGCAGATGCAGCCCAAAGGGCTGACTCCATAAAGTCAAGGTAGGACTATGGCTTGGCCTGAAGGGGCATGCAGCAAGCGTCCAAAAGTCAAAGGCATCCGAGGTGTTGCGGCGAATGTAAAGTGGTGCTTGCCTGCATCCCCTTGGCATAGGAATGTGCGACAACCTTGACTTTTGGTCAAAGCCCATGAAACCAGGCATCGATCTTGGATATGTCGCAAGTCCAATTCTGAACCCTGACTACAAGTCTCGGTCTAAACGCTAGGCCTACGCCCCTGCCAGCTTCTCGTTGGAGGCTTCTCTCTTCAGAGGCACCGCATCATGCAGCATTCCTGGACGGCTTTCCGGAGACTTGTCTCCATGACGCCCTAGAATTGGAAAGCAAAACGAAAGGGCGACAGACCCCAAGATGGGGTTCGAGCACATGGGTTCCTTTCGGATGCTAGACAATTGTCCTTTGGTGCAGGGCGATCGGGCACCCGCTCACTGCCACCCGTTCAACTCCTGAATGAAGGCCCTTAGGAAACACCTTTGCGAGTCAACTCTCAGGTCCTTGGTTTCATGGCCATGTCTCGCTCGCACACTCAGCTGTCTCTGTTGGAAGCTTTGGGATTTTGATAGCCATACTGGACGAAATCCCCTGCTCTCCAGTGATTGGTGGTTATCCCAATTGTATTTACAACCGGTGCAGAATGTTTTTCCAGCGACAGTAGTAAGGGGGATTCCCACCCCAACCAAAAGTCCAGAGATTTGACATGCACTGAATGCCTCTCGCCCTGTTTCTCTTCTCTGACTTCATATGGGTTTGTCTCAAACTGAAAAAAACCCGGATTTGGCGCTTACCTTTTCGTTTCGCTTCAAAACCTGATCCAAAAAGGTCAGCCTCAAAAGAACATCAACACATTTCGAAACCATCCAAAGGGGTGCAACTCGTCTGGGTGAGTCATAGTTCCCTGAGAAAAGCACCTTCATGGGCCGCGAGGTCGCATGCGGTAGGTGCGCACGAGATGTGATTTGCCCACTAGCTTTGACATAGCTCCAAACAAATACAGAGCATACCTATATACGGCGGAAAAGTACACATGATTCTCAAACCATGTCACACTTGTTTTTCCATGGGTCCCTTGCTAAAAACTAAAACAGCGGTGGGAAGTTGGATAACTCCAACTCTAAGCCCTAAAAAGCTCAAGTCTAAGGGTATTGGCTGGGAACCGCACAGGTTCGAAAGCCGTGTCCTTTTGTTCGGCTTGCCAGCGCTTGGGCCAAGCGGGCACTGAACTGCTGCACCCTCTTGGACTTGACCTCCGGATTCGGACGCTGAAAAGCAAATGGCAAGTCTCAGGAACAAATGGCAACGAGTTCATGGGGAACACCCTTGAACATGGTTGCAGGACGTGAATTACCATGTGAATGTGAATGATGGGGCATGAAATGGACATGCCCGAAACGAGGTGTGTCAGGGCAATGGCCAAAGAAGAAAGAAGAGACACCCTAAAAGCCCGAAGGGAAGAACACGGCAAGAAAAGCAAACACTTGGAACCATGTGATCTGCCATATGTGTAGGCATGGGCCACAACTGATCTGTGTTGCAGAAAGTGAGTCGCCAGCGGCGTTGGGCAAAAAATCAATAAACGACCGCCAAAAGCACCAAAGGTGCTTTTTTCTGGGATTCCCTGAGGAAAACATTTTTTTGGGATCGCCCAACCCGTGACCCGAACAATTCTCTCGGCGCCGGGCGAAGAACTCGTTGGTGAGGTGGCCAAACAGCACCACCAGGAGCAAATACACCGGGAAGAAGCGCTTGGGCATGATGCCGCCCCAAAGCCTCTCGGCAATCTTCCTGGGCTTCAAAACAGGAGATGAGCGAACGCAAGGGTCAAGAACACATGCTTCCCCTGACAACATAGCATGGAACCCGAAAAGAAGGCCCCTTTGTAGGATATGCTATCCCATTTGAAAAGGACTGCTGTTGGCGTGCCGTATGCCCCCAAACACGGCAGTCCTTATATTTTCACCTTTTGCCGCTTGGGCCCCAACTTTGGCTGGGAGATGCGGGTGGGGCACAGTAAGCCTGAATTCAATCCATTTCACAACCAGGCCATGATTGAGCTCGGTTCGCACCCAGCTAACGTCTTACAAATTGAGTTGGAAACCTCAAAGGGCAACATCAAACTGCAATGACTGATTCCAAAAAGGGATATATGAGGCTTGTCGGCCGCGAGAGGGGTCAAATTTGGGTTCACGGGTTCCCATGGCCGTAAGTCGCGCGCCCTTTTTTCAGGCACGAAGGTGAAATCAATCGGAGCGCAAGCCATGGTAAATTAAATGCAGTTCTTGGTTTGCCACCCCTTTTTTCTTTCCTAAAGCAAGGGATGCGTCAGAATAAGACAAACCTCCACAAGAAGACGGAAAGCAATCGAAGGTTGCAGGACTCCCACAGGCTATTTCTTTGCGAAGCAAGCCGAAACAGATTCTTATCAAAACACTGGTCCTACTTCCCAAAAGGACAGCTCAGTTCCAGATGTTTCAGATTCTGTCATATCTATTTGACACAGTTTCCCCGTTTCAAAAAGTGTTCTCTAAACATGACACACCCAAACCTGAATCCTCCGTTCAACTGGGGCGCTTCTTGTAGAAGATTTGGCCCATCGGGCCGTGCAGGATGAACATGGGAAAGGCCAGAGAGCCAAGCCAGGTCATCGTCTTGGAACCGAAGAAGCGGGTGATCAGGTGGGGTCTCTCCGAGAGGCAGTCCCTATGGGTCGACCACAAAAGCATATCACTTCATTTGATAAACATAAACATTCCCCAACGCACCGGCCAACTCCTGATGAAAATTTGCCGCGCAATTCTGCACTGTCCTGACTGGGCCGAGGCCGGCAACACGAATGGAATTTTACACAAAGTCCAGTAATTCCTTCATAACACATCCTTGCGCCAAGCCTGGGCGGCCCCATGCCCTCCCCCACTCAAGGGGAGCGGGGTGGGTTGATGCCATTCATGTAGCTTTCCCCACGAAACAAACAACATGTCAGGAGGTACTCCCGTTTTCCACCAGATGTCCGCTATCCGGGATCCGAAATCACTGCCTGTGCACTTCCGTCAGGAACTTGGTATACAGCGGCATGAACAGAAGGGAGCGAATCCTGAGGTGCCCAGTCCCGCCATGCGACTTTTGCCCAGAAGTGAGCTCCCGAAGGCCATTAATGTTTGGTTTTACGAACATGCTCCAAAAGAGTTGAAGGTTTAGAATATACGGTCCTTATTGTAGTCTTCGTGAAACAAGATAGTAGAACCACCTACTAAAATGGCGAATGGGGCGTTGGGTGCTGGTCAACAGGGAAACCAGAACGGGTAAACACCGGCTGTCCTCGTACGCAGGTGACCAAACAAGGGCAAAGACGTGTTCTTCTTGTTGCATGCAGGAAACCAAGCATGCAAAATTAGACATTTGGCATGGTGTTCACGTTTCCGCGGGGGCCAAAAACGGCAATACCACATTTAGGGAGGACTAAACACAGCACCCCCTGTGAAAACATGTTTACTTACCCTTGTTTAAACATCCCCCTTGGCTACCCTGGGTGGCACCAAGGTCCGCTCTTCCAATGTTGAACCAACCTTGCAACCGAGGAGCATGGCATCATTCAAGTTGAGTGACGTAAGGCGCAGCCCCAGCGATGCGTAGCTCAGCAGGAAGAGCCACAGGGGGTTCATGGAGGGCCTCGAAGGGTTACCACATGCTTACGTCATTCCTCAGCCAGTGGGAAAACACTTTGCCTTTTCCTCCCGCATACACGATGTCCTTTGCGCGCACAGGAATATGCAGCAAAATGTCCCTTTCTCCCACTGCTCCATACATACTGATTCACGGGGGGCCATTCATGTTCAAACCGCAGACGTCCCTTTTTCTTTGACTACATCAGTTGTGTGTTGCCTCTGGTGAACCTGACATATGTGAAATCACTAGCCTAGGTGTCTAGGTTTTACATGATGGGTTCCCTTGGTTACCTACAGGATCCAGACTCCCTTAAACATCCAGTTGATTGTGTTTTTTCCCACTCAAAGCAGCGTGGCCTCTGCGAATCCTTGTCAAGCATCACCCATCGCGCAGCCGCCGCGCCCATGGTGATTTCCACCAAGGCACCAAAGGGGTGGAACCGCGTCACGTTCCTGGGTGCTCTCGAGGGCCAAACGTCGAGTTGAAGTCTCCATGGTGCCGTAAAAAGAGAAAAAAACAGTCCATCCCCGTTCAGCTTTTTGGAAAACTGGCAAATATTGAAAGAATAAGCCATGCCAAAGATGAAAACATGGTTGCCAGTCGCAGGTTCCAAAGGTAGGGGTGCGCGGTGCGCTCCGCGTACTCCCCGCGGCAATGGAACTTCCAGGCCTGGAATGGGGAAATTCGCTACGATGTTTATGTGTCCTCAAAAACTTTACAAGTCCAAGTGGAGCTTCCAGCTCTCTAAAGGAAGAGAGATCATGTTGGGTCCTGAAAATATTGCAAGAACTAACCAGGGTGACTTGTAAGGCTCGGTGCCTTTTTGGTGCCTGCTTGTTGGCTTCCAGGGAATCCAGCGTCCCCGACTTGCAGCTTGGGAATCTGAGGTTCATGAAGCTCAGTGGTCACTTACTTCTAGGCTTAGGTTATGTGGGAACCATGGATCTTGACATAGTTGGCTCTTGGGTTCAGTGTGGGTTGCGAAACCAAAGTGGGTTCCGAAGAGATCATAGCCATGGCCGAAATTTAGTCTCCAAAGAGAACATGGCCGAAATTAAGTCTCCAAAGAGAACATGAGAAGGTGCGGGCTCGTCCCCTGGGTTTTGTGGGAAGTTTAGAGATCGTTCCCGCATGTCCCTCCCAAATGGACCGTAGACTATTGGACATGCTTGACCAAACCTCGTGTGAAACGGGTCCCTGAATTTGTGTGTAGTATCCAGAACTCGTTTGTTAGAAACCAGTTGGGGTCACCCATTTGGGAGAGTTGGGTTTAGTGCTATGCACTCGGCCTGAGAGTACGACAGCTTCTGCAGCAGCGACACTGAGAAGAGCGCCGCCATCAGCTTTGCCAGCCCGTCCTGAAAATCCGGGAAAAGCCGCAACCAAACAAAGCATACGCCTTCAACAAAGCCAAAGCCCAGGTATCCCCAACCTCAATAAGCCGTCCGTATTGGGACCCCAATATAGGAGAAACCACTACCTTGAGGCATAAGGAGTAAGGATTGATGTTCAACATCCCTGAAACATGTGGGCCAAGCTGCCACTGTCCCCTTAGGTCTGCTCTTTTTCCGCACAGTACCCCCCCCCCCCTTCGGCCAAATTGACCCTGAACGAATCTGTGAGCAACAGAAGGAAGGGCATAATTTCCCTTACAAACCCAGAAAGGTCAAACAAGAACGGCAAACGCCTGGAAGGCCCAGGACATGAGCCTGGAAGGCCTAGCGATGGAGCTCAGAAGCCCTGGCAAATTTCCATGGTTCTAAGGCCTCAGAAATTCTCCGAAACCAGTGACGAATGGGGGCTTGGTGGTCCAGGATACCCGGCAGCTCTCCCTTCACCCGGAGTTTGAGGTTCGCTAATTTTGAGCCACATATATCAGACGTTGCTTGTTCAAGTCAGTCCATGAAAGGACAAAGGAAAGGATTGTGTGTAATGGTCATGGTCCTTTGGGGAAAATCGATAGCACTACATGAGACAGAGCAAATTGAAGCCTTGGCTCAAGGACATCTGCAGCCCACCCATGGACTTCAAGTTCCCTAAATTGAGACATGGAACCCGTGGAACCCAAAATAGGTGGCTGCCCTGTTTCCCTTCGGTGTCCATTTCGATTCCCCGGGAAATCAACCACCCAAAAGGAAAACTGTCAACACAATCCTCCCAAGCTCGATGCATGCCACTGGAGTCTGGAAGCTATGGATTCCACTAGACAAACTGAAACCTGTGGAATCCATCTTAAGAACGGCCCAAATGACACTTTTCCGTACAATGGCACAATGAGATTGGATGGTTCTCATGGTGAATCTAGGCTGTCCTCACTGTAGACTTCAAATACTGTCAGTGTCTACTTTATCTCAACCAAACTGAAAAAGGACACCTTGACCCAGACCTCAGTGCCACAGAACAACAACGACTCCATTTTCTTGATATAGTCGATCAAACATAAAAATGAAGAAACCAAAAAAACAAAAAAGACAAGGCAATGCCCTTCTGGAGGCCTGGAACAAGGACGCTTACTGATGGGCAAAGTCCGCTTCGCAGCATTTGGAGGTGTATCCCGTTGTTTCTAGGGTTTAATCCTCCTCTTTTCAAACACCAGCCATTTCCATTAGTTTTTGGTGATTTTCTGGAAAGATTGCGGATCGCTGGGTTCAGAATGGCTGGAGCTTAATCCAGCAGCCGTAGGACAACTTGCGCCTTTTGTGGTCAATTGAAAAGGGCAAATCCCCTCAAAAAGGAGAAAAGAGGGCACCGCTTTGGTACAGGGATGCCGCCAAAAAAGAAATGAAAAAAGGCAACCCACTCTCAACCTCCGGACCGGAGGGGTCCTTGGACAACTTCGCCACTGCCGGCAGCACCGTAGGCATGGTGACGTTGGCGAAGGTCAGGGCCGACAAGAACCAGGTGGGTGGATTCCAGATCTCCGCCTCCGAGGGGAACCAGGCCTGCCAGGGCAGTCCAACCGAGCCCTTCCAGTTTGCCATACTGAGGATGGACGAAATCCGCTCGCACCACTTTGAAACCATGCAAAACCATGGGTTTGTTGGTATTTACAGGTGGAAACATCATTCAAGGGTGCTTAGGTGGTGCAGGAGTTTGTCCATCCACAGCATGGTCGGAAACTCACACAGTGTCTAAGGGTGCCAAGCCGCTGTCCCTTAAGATAGGGATCCTCCCCACTCTCAGTGTACGGGGGCTTTGAATTATTTTAAGAGCACAGCTTGACATTCAAAGTCACCTGTGAAACAGGGTAGCACAACCTGCACCCACTATCTTACACTTCTCTGCAGTGTCTGTGGGTTGACGTAGGTGAAAAACAGTTTTCCTGCCAGAACATACCGGCAAGGGCTCGAGCTCTCTGCAAACCTTGAGCATCAAAACATATGGACACCAGAGCCAAGTCTGACAAGAAAACTTTGTACACGCTGATGAGTTGAAGCTCAAACACTATCAGCCGCAGGACTGCTCTACGAGAAAACGACTCATGAGCAAAAAAAAACAGTTGCCTGCAGCAGGGAGTAGTTCAGGCACGCATGCATGCCTGTGGTGCGCCAGGAGTTGTTCATGAGCCGATCCGTGGCGATGAACAATGGCGCACCCACGGTAGAGACCACAAAGTGCAGCGGATAGTAGCTCATCACCTGAGACGGTCCAACAGAACCCCCATATACAGAAAGTGGCAAAACCTCAACTTCCACCCTTTGGGATCAAAAACAAACAGGGAAAGGCTGCCTCAAATGAATGGGGAAGCATACACCCAACTGTTTTGGGATGCTTCCAGCCAGAGCCACACCCAAAAGCAAACTCATCTTCGGACCATGATGGACCATGGTTCGGGGAAATCACCCTTTCAGTGCTTCTGTTTTCTTTAGCCATTGCAGGCGACCTGTGATGATCGCCCCAGAAACCTTTGACTTGAGATGACTTGCGTGTAGACCTTGGGTCACACGCCGCAAACAAAAATGGAAGCACATTCGAAACTTGAAACCGCTCACCGATCTGCATGGTTCTCCCTGTAAGCTTGAACCACTTCAACGGGTGTTCTTCGGTATCACAGAAACTGGCAACCACAAACCACATGTTCCACCATTCGGATTGCTACCCACACATTGCCTTCTGCCAAAAGAAGAGCTCCGGATCTTTGAACTTCTTGGCATCATGACTCCTCTCTCCCAGGATCGTCGTGGTGTACGCCGCTACGTACCTACGACTAGAGACTTAGGCGAAAAAGGGCCACTTGTGGCTGGTGATCGTTTAGTCCCCTTGGGTGACCAGGGCTACATTAAAAGCTCTGGGTTTTCAGAGGGAATGAACGGGTTCTAACAAACGGGTTTCAGCATGCCCCGGGAAACAATCATGTGTCTATCCGAAAGGAACCATTTGTTAGAACCCATTGATGTCGCCCCAAATGAAGGAAACCCAAAAGGGCACAAAATGCAAAACGGTGAGCTCAGTCTGGCAACCCGGAGATGCTGAAGAAGCCACCCACCAGCACGTTCTCCTGTGTCAACAGTTTCAGCAGCAGCCGGTTGCTTGTACCTTGCGGAAAACCATTTGAGTCAGAATGAAAAAACGCTGTGGCCATGCTAGTCATATGCAAAACACGCGCTTTAAACGGTCTGCCCAACGCAACAGAAAGAATCGCTTGCCATTTAAGTCCTTGTCAAAAGGTACTAAAGCAGTTTGCCCACAACCATGTAAACAATTGCTCTTTTCGTACCGGCAAATGGATACGTGTCAAAATAGTGGGGGCCAAATAACGGTGGTATTCCTGTTGGTTTCCCTTTGAACCAACCCCGAGAAGGGCACCTAGCCTGAAAAAAAGCACAGACACACATCCATACGTGTTGGCTGTTCTTGTTTTGGGGGGGAGGGGAAATCAGTATTTCTCGGGGTTCCCTGTTATTTGGCATATACCCGCACAGCTAAAGATCAATCAACTTAAACAGCAAAACAACAGTGCTGGACATTCATGCTGGGCTGCCAAAGCGGATGAAGTGGCCCAGGATGATCGGGAAGACCAGGGCGAAACGGCAGCCGTCGATGCAATCGATGCGCGGCTTCTTGGCCTCAGGGCCCCCGAAAAAGTATCCCTTGTTGTGGTTTGCGAAGCAACCAAACCAAACAGGGTCGTTCCTCAAATTTGTTCACTTTAAGGGGCCCAGTATTAGGTCGTTTACAAGGCAAAAGCGAAAGGGAAACGTGAGGCTTAAGGAGGGTACCTCACTTGCATGTGGGCACCAAAACAGGGCATCCGCTTTTCTGGATGGTTCAATTTAGGGGAACCCATTCCAAAACAAAGAGGGAGGGAGGGAGGGAGGGAGGGAGGGAGGGAGGGAGGGAGGGAGGGAGGGAGGGGGGAGGGAGGGAGGGAGGGAGGGAGGGAGGGAGGGAGGGAGGGAGGGAGGGAGGGAGGGAGGGAGGGAGGGAGGGAGTGAGGGCGAGAGAGAGAGAGAGAGAGGGAGAGAAAAGGCGCAAGGGAAAGAGAGAGAAGGCGGAAGGGAAAGGGAGGGAGGAAGGGAGAGAGACAGGAAGGGGCAGGGAGGGACGGAGGGAGCGAGAGACAGAAAGAGAGAAATGGACAGAGAGGGAGAGCGAGAGCGAGAGAGAGAGAGAGAGAGAGAGAAAGAGAAAGAGGAAAGGAGAAATTAAAGAATCCCCTTGGAAAAGAAACGGACAGCTCGCCCGAATGTTGCCATCCCCACGAGTCCAAGAGTTCGATTTTCCCCCCATAAACCTTTTTCTGCGGGAGACAGGTTGAAAAAGGATTTCACTTCGACCTAAAAATTGCTTTGCCATTTGAGGGTTGCTTGCAGTTTGTAGCATACTCTATGAAGGCCTTTGTGAAGCTCCTACGATGGACAACAGAACCCCTTATGTGACACGAAACACACCTCATCTGTCACACTGTGGGTGACAAAATAGCCCCTGATTTGTTTGCAGATCACAGCCTACCCGCTGCTTGACCAGATGCTGACCACATTACCCCTTGTTGTTCACAACATTGCCCCCCCCCCCCCACCTTCCAACCCCAGAATCTTTGTGTCTCCCCCTTTGGACATTTGCCACCATAAATATGCTGTTAGAACAAATATCGCTGTTACAATCCGACCCACAAAGCGAACCTCCAAATGCAACGCATGATGTCAAAGGTTTGAAAGGACGTCTCCCCCCATGCCTTCGCAGCCTGCGAAGTTTCGCTCGGCATGGGCACAGCGACCTGGAAACCAATCGCGAAGACTCCCGAACAGGGCGCTGGGCCAAAGGAGGGCCAATCTGATCCACAAATGCAGTATAATTGTAAGGGCCTCAGTACTCATGAATCAGATGCGGTTTATATAATCAAACTACCCCATCGTGGGAGAATATTACTTTGCCACTTGTATCTACTGTTCAGAGAAGCTGCCCATTGAGGGTCAGCTGTCAAAACAGGATGATTGAACCAAACCACGCAAAAACCAGTCAACTGTCAATTTGTCATTCAAGGTTCCTCATCCATTTCAACTATACGGGCTTCCTCATAATATGTCCGCTTCAATAGTCACTCCAAAAGAGACTCACTTCAGACTCGCCCAACTGGTGCTTTTTACAACCAGCCAAAGGAGGGAAACTGCTGATGGCCTCAAAATACATCAATAGCGTTTGCTTTGCCATCAAACGGAGTTCCTCTAACTTGCAATCTCAGTGATGTTCAAAACGGCCAAAACGTGTTGTTCTCCGGGAACCTTGCGCAAGCGGCAACAGACAAGCGGCTTTCGCAAAGTTTCTCCCAGGTCCCATGGCACTTTCAGAGACTTGTGAACCCCGACATAGGGGTGTGACTTTTTTGGAGGTACCTGGGTACCCCTTTCTGCGCTTTTAAAGGCAAACAAACCCGAAGCCGACCATTTTTGGGGTTCCCTACGTTGCGTGAGGGCTGGTCAAAATGCGCTCCAATCCACGAGCCGATCTTTCCCCCAAATGACCTGGGTGGTCGCTGCCCGCGACTAGTGGCGAGTCATTGGTGGCGCCAGCAGTCACACATGAGATAGTTATTCACGGTAGTGGCAATTTTGGCGGGCTGTCTGCGTGTGTGTTCTTTGCTGAGGTTCAACCGCTCCAACAAAAGGTTGATTGATTTGCAGTTTTGCAGGTCAAAGGCAAACAATCAGTCACTTGGAATCCAGATCGAACCCAAACTCAACTGAGCCGCTTTGGTATGCTGGTTACGCATGAGGGACGCCCAAAGCGCCCAGCCAGCGGTTCGATCCAAAACAACCAGGTAAACGACGCGCAGGAGCAATTTCCGAGTAACGAAACTTGGGTCGTTTCCCCCACCTCAGGTGAGCTCCTGCTGATTTGTACGGTGTCATTGTTCTAAAGAAGTGTCCCTTCAGTTCTGTTCCAAAAAGGCAACTTGCCATGAGCTTGCGTGCGGTGCGTGAATTGAGTTCCGACACTTGCAGCCACTTGCAGCCACGAGTAACCACAAGTCCGCAAGTGGCCGCAAGTGGCCGCAAGCGGCCGCAAGTGGTAGCAAGTGGCCGCAAGTGGCCGCACATGGCCTCTTTCGCTGTGTGCTTATTCAGATTTGCTCGGCGAGGCAGGGGATGCTGCTGGCGATGCTCTTGATGCTGGGGGGGTGTTGCCGGGCCCTGGTCTTAGCACGAAAAGTGCTTGAGCTTTTGTGCTGAAAGCTCGCGCCCATGCGAGGGTTTTTTTTGCGCCTGCCAAGGGCTGCTGCTCACCCACTTTCTGCGACGAATGCAGGGTATAAACGCTGACACCTTGTTCAGCACGAAATGCGCTGCAGTTTGCGTGCTGAAACCTCGTGCAATGCTGTTGGCTCATTTGCCGAAACGAAGGGCTGCCGTACTAAACTGTATTGCTGCTGCTTCAACAATACTGTTGCGTGCAATGCGGCCACTCGCCGCCACTCGAGTGGCTGCAAGCGGCCACAAGTGGCCGCACATGGCAAGTGGACGCAAGTGGCCAATTCAAAATGATGCACTTTTGCACGCTTCCCGCAACTTGCTGAAACCGGACAGGTCTTTCACCTGGTGCTCTTGGTGCCTTGATTCCAGTGTACTTGATTGGGTCCCCAAAGGCAGGCCCGGCCTTGTCGGACTTACCAGTGCCAGCCATGGCCAAACTTCACGGTTCTGTGCAGATAGGCTGCGAGAGATTGAGCCAAAATGCTTGAGGCCATCGCAGAGTCAGCTTTCCGCAAGACGCCAATGGCCGATTTTCGTTTGGGACTTGTTGCCCCAAGTAAATTGGGGCATTATAGTTGGGGGCACACCCACCCTTTTTGGAAGCAAGTCCCAACCCGAAATTCACGCTCACTTTGGCATCCCGGAAGCACCCCTGCCTACGCCCGGCACAGAGTCCAGCGTGCGAAGCCCGGCGACCGCCGCCATGGGAGGACAAAGTGGATTTAAAGATGTCAGCTATTCTGAAGCCCTCCCTGCCAAGCTGGCCGCGAGCAGCTTCACATGCTTCAGAAGGCCCCATGTATCCCATGTGTTGAAATCTCCGGGCCATGGTCATGGTTCCATTCTAGAACCCTACTCAACTTTACAAAAAGGGTCCACGACCGTCCCAAGCAACCCTTGGCAAAAGCTGCACACATGCCAACATGTACCAGGGTTGTGTGGTTCTATTGAAAACAAGCTTAGCTTAAACCATATGCATGCATACACGTACATGTATATATGTATATATACACACTGTATGCATGTGTGTGAGTGACACCATTGAGTTTGTAAACCATCGGGTTTGGGATGCTATTTGAACTAATCAAGCTTTATTGGGATTGTGCTGCACTCGAAGACTCTGAGGCATCGGCGACCCTAGGGCCTCAGCTGTGGCCGAGCCGACTTGGATTTGGGTTGGCCCAGCCTCCTCTTTAAACTTGCTTGAACACCTACTTGATTCAGCAACCTCCCTGCCCTGGAATCAGCCCAAACGGGCAGCGTCCCCTTGGTTTTTCGTCCCAAAAAGAAGCCAAGTGCATGGGAACTTCATAGTGTTGCCGAAAATTTGGAGTGGATCGCCTGTTTGCTTATGGCTTCTGTTTGCTCATGGCTTGTTATCGAACCTCGAAGGCCAAAAGGGCGTCCATAGGATACCGGTCTCGCTCCCACGTGTGCGAGTTTCACCTGAAAAGGCTTCTGGCGAGCGGTGGAGTATGTTTTTATTCGCCTGTCCTCCTTTCCGGGATGATCCACGTTCCCAGGCGAAGGTTAAGTCACCTGCAGAAAGGGGAGGCTATTTCTGGGTCCATTGAAGTGACATCCTCAAAGTGGCTGATTTACAGGGGACCTACTCCGAAAAGCAACTCAAGGCGCCCCAAAAGGTTTGAAACAACCCAACAAGTGAAGTGCAGGGAGGCGCAACCAGGGAGTTCGCAACTTGACATGTGTTCTGGCCAACTCTCCGAGTCTGGGGGTCATGGTCATCATTTTCTTAATTAAAAACCTTCACAATAGTGGTTCACAGGCCTTTAGGGGGTTGATGATCCCCGCTGCCCCAAACAAAAGGGATGTTTTGACCGTGGCACACGCAACTTGGACCGGAAGCATGTTTTGCGAACGCCTAGGGCGAAGGGTTTGGAGGCGCCCGAGATGCCTCTTGTGCCGGCCAAAGAGCGCAAGTCACAAGTGACTCAGGCAAGGTTCAAGCAGCCCAAGCCCAGAAGCTTCAAGCCATTGCAAAATCACAGATGCATTTGCCATGGTCAGCAAAAAAAAGCGGCAACCCTGAAAATGGCACGACATGCGTTTCCTTTGGTAAAAGGCTAGCCACCCCGGAAAAAACATAGCCATCTGAGCCACCTGCCAGGGCTTGGACGTCCAAAAACAGATGTGAAAACCTCGATTCCAGCTCCCTTAAGGGCGCAGTGCTCCAATGGGCGGCATTGCCGCCCCGGAGGAGTTGGCACTTCCGCGAAACGAGGGGGTGCCCAAATTCAGGCTCATATTGGTATTTCTGCGGTCTGGATTGGTGGGCGTGACTAAGCCCCCCAGATTGAAGCCATCACTGTCCGTCTCAGTGTCCAGGGGTGTAATCTGCCTCTGCGGCTTTGGAGTGATGCCCGCATGCATGTTCAGGGGCGCCACGTTCGACTTGGGAGTGATGCCCGCGTGCATGTTCAAGGGCACGACGTTTGACTTGGGAGTGATGCCTGCATGTAGCGTCATGGGCTGCATGGCCGACTTCGACGTAGTAGACATGGGCTGCATGGGCGGTGGCGAGGTGGGCGACAACGGCTCCGCAGCCGCCTGCGCGACCATCACGCGGTTCCGCACGCTGCGGTTGCTTCTGGACATCATGGGCTGCCGCTGTGAGTTGGTGGGCGTGGACATTGGAGGCTGAGGCACACAAGGCAAGTCATCCATATCCAGCGCCATCTGATAGCCTCGCAGGGTGTTTCAAGTTGAACAAAACAGTTTGTTGCTTCCCTGAGGAGGCCAGGGTCTGGTGTTCAGCAAATTGTGCAACCAACCCTGCCTCCACTCCTACTGGGGGGTGCGGGTTCCGGCGCTGAGCCCGGGCGCGCGGACTGTGCGATGCTGCCCATCGCTAGCGCATTCGACACCTCCGGGCCCCAGTTGGCCGCCTCGGGTAAAGTTTGATTCGGTGAAACCAAAAGGAAACACCAAGTGAGGTTGTATAGAAGTCTCGCTGTTTTTAGAGTTTCTTGTTTTTGGGGGGTGATCTATTTTTGTTTGTTAACTCCTTCTCGTTTTGCAGTGTATTGTGCGTTCTTTACTTGCAAGCTCGAAATCGATTGCTTGAAGCTTGTCTAAAGCCGGCGTTAACAAGAGCACCATGGTGCTTCCCATTCCAAATTCTAAAACAATTTTCAGGTCAAACAATGCTAACCAGAGCTTCATCGCTTTGGCCTGGATGGTGGTGCGCACAGATCGCAAACTCCGGGCCATCATTGGCTGACGCTGTGCATTGGTGGGCGAAGGGAGCACTGGGGGCGAAGCCTCGCAGCTGGAAACCGCTTCCAGCTTCATCTCCTCGGAAAAAGGAAAAACATTGGGTGTCTTTTTCAGAGTACCGCATTTCTGTGGTGTTCAAGGAAAGCAAAAAGGAAAACCAATGCCATCAGGGGGGTCCCCTGAAAAAGACACCTCATTTGATTTCTGTGATTTCACCTTTTGCATTGTGGGCCCCAAAAGCAGGTTGGGGGTTGAAAAAGCAGGGCCCTCGGAAAGTACACATCGCATGGTCTTAAACTCCCCGACAAAACGCTGGTTTTCTACGCCGGCATCAAGGAATGATCATCCGTAAAGGATGCATCCCGGTTTGTTCATAAGGTGTTTTGACCATAGCGCAAGTCAGCACTATATCAGTGGTGCCGATTGGCCCCGATTTTGGGGGAAGCAAGAAATGTGCCAATCCCTCCAGAGGTTGCCATACCACCACCTTCGAAACCTGTGAGAGAAAAAGCAAAACCAAAGGCCAAACACACGCTGCAATGTCCTATTCTAAGTAGTTAGACCTTCGAATCCGTTTGAGAACAAATACACAACTACGCCGTAACTGAACAGTTCTAGGCATACGACCTTCGAAGCCTGTCCGAAAACAATGAAACACAGAAAGCACGCCATCTTTTCCCTTTAGATCCATGGTTGACAGGTGGGTCGTTCAACAGAAATCCCCAGTCACTTCCTGACTGGACTGATCGGAAAAAGCGACCTGACTTGTTGGTTTCTAAATCATTGTCCTCAAAAGCTTAAAGGTTCCTTGACTAGGGAAGTGAGGGGCAAGAACTCCCGCACCAATGCCAGGCCACTGGGCGCAAATCTGCTTTGGGAGCAGATGCTGGGCGCAAATCCGGCGTGGGAGCAGACGCTGGGCGGAAATCTGCTGGCTTAACAGGATGCTGGACCACCTGCCAGGTTCAGACTTTCGAGGCACAAAACCATGTGAGTGACAAAACCGTGTAGAGTTTTTCCAAGAGTACGTAAGAAATCAAAGGGCGGCTGCATCTGTCTATGGTTGAGATGTTCTGTACAACCGTTCATTTACCTGGGTTTGAATTGTGGCTCGGTGTGCCATGGTTATGGTTCCCATAGGGTTGACATGCTGCTTCCTGTGTCCAAGAAGCGCACATCCAGCAAAAATGGGGACTTGTTTAGGTGATTTGTTTTTAAAGGAAATCAAAGAAACTCCTTCAGTTTGACACATTCCTGTGAGCATCAAAGTCAAGACTCCCCTGAAAGCCACGGTCATTTCCCCAACGGTTGTCTAAATCACCTGGGACCCGGCCCCGTCCTACCTTTGTATGTGTCAAAATAAGGGATTCCGCAAAAAAAGGTGGCTTGTCGTGTTGGTTTCACTTCAAAACCGCTCCAAAAGGGTATCTTCGAAGAAAACAAAAAAAAAGAAGCAAAAACAAAGGTAAAATCTGCCAAGTTTCGGCATGCGAAGCAGCGCCACTTCCGCGGAAGGAAGGGGTGCCTCGCAGCGACCAGCCACGGACGCAGGAATCTGTATAGGCCATGGCCATATGGGTGTGTGAGAGGAAAGTTTTGTTTGAGGCTCGGTCCCTTTCACTTTGGCCCGCACGGAAACCACAGCCAATACAACGACTTGTTTACCCTGTTTGAGGTCCCCTATCTTGACACACACCCAGATTAATTGCCCCCTCCAAATCATCTGTTTGGCGGATAGTTGAAATATACCGGTTAGGTGCTTTGTCACTGTGTTTCGGCGGATGGGTGTTTCCACAAATCGGGGACCCCCTCGACAAAAGAGTGGTGGCGTATAACAGGGAAATCATCAAGAAATTGTGGGTCTGCTATGTGTGGGAACACTCATGGTCATAGTTCGGAACACTCAAATGACCATCCCTAGAAGTCGGTCTTTTGACCGCAGCACTTTTTTGTCCATCAAACCCTCCGACATTATCCACTTTCGACGGTGATCCTGTTCGCCCACCAATGTGTCAAACCCGAGAATTAACATAAACTACCTGGATTTTGTTTTTGTGCCTGACTGTCGGGGCCAAGTCAAGAACATGGCTTGTTTTTTGCTCGTTTCACGCAAAGGACGTAAAATCAGCACCCGGGTTTCTCGCCTGGGCCCCGCCTGTTTGCACGCTGAGCTCCATGTTGCACCGCATGCGGTTCGCTGGTGTCGTGTGCCCGGCAGAAAAAAAGGAGGCGCTGGACTCCGCCTGGGCGGACGAGAGCTTGCACCCTGTGCCGCCCGTGAAGACACACTGGGTCAGTAAAAATAAATGAATGAAGACAATGGTGGGGAGGGGGTGCCATTATATGATGCGTACACCTAAATATATACATATATATAAGGACCCGTGCTATGCCTCCTTCTCTGCATGACAAAACCATTTGTTTTGCTGCATCCACTCTAGAACCCAAACAAAATCTGCCACACCAGTCATTGGAAACTGCTTAGAGAGTGCTCACCGAGATCCGCGGGCTTGGTTCCCCCTCCTTTTGGTCTGTTTCATCTTTCCTCCTAGGGCGGCGTGGGAGACTCAACTCGAAACTTCGGCGACGCCCTCTGACACACCAGGAACACAGACTCGCGTTACGCCCCCTCACTGCAAATCAAAAAGGATTTGTCACATCAACAGCAAAGAAATACTTGTCCATTCCAGAACACCTCCCCTCCCCCGAAAGAGCCTGATGCTCAAGGCGTGGAAACTGCTCTGGGCCCTGACACCAGGACTCGCTCACGCCGCGACTTAGAAGTCACTGGGTTACATAGGCACACTCCTGCCTTTCTCACGCGGATCGCTCGCTTCTATCAGATATTATCAGTGGCATCTTCTTAAACGCCCCGGGCTCGGTTGTTCGCCTGTCTACGGCCGCCTGAACCTCAGCGAGCTGGGGTCATCCGGTCCTTTGCTGCAGGGATCAGCAACCTGGCAGCCGCCCTCTCCGCGCTCCTCCGTTCTTCTACGACACTTAGCCTCCTCCAACTCCGCATTCTCCTCTTCGCCGTTTCCTCTCTTTCTCTTCCACACTCAATGGAGGCGGGCCTCCCCTCAGGACCCCTTGCAGGCCCTAGAGACGCCGGTCAAGGATCTGCCCAACAACCGGTATCGCCCCAGTGCTCCCACACTCCCTCGGAGGAGTGTGTAAACATAGACTCACGCCGAGACTGCGGAAAAGCAAGGCATGCACTCTTCTTAAACACCGAGACGTGGAATATAATATGTTCCTTCAGACCTCTCTCCACCAAACCTCTGTTAAAATGGCACCAGAAGGCACCATCCAAAGCAGGGCAATACAAGTACAGTCCCAGGTGATGGCAAGCAGAGCCATGCTTTCTATCCTGTTCGCAAACCCCCATGTCGGATGTTTCTCAAACGGGCCCCAACACCGGGGAACACAATCTCAGCAGTTCATTGGTCCCTTGCTCAAAGATCAGCTTTTGGTGGGACATGTCAAAAATCCCTACAAACTCAAAGTCTGCAAGTCTAAGGGTATGGCTGGAAACTGCCCAGACGAATATGAAATGCTGCTGGACAATGCCCAGCAACAGACAATGCTACGCGCAGCTCGAACTGATCTAACACGCAGTACGCACCCCGAATTGGACACTGTGTGCGCGGAGTTGGGCGGGCTTCCCCCAACTCAAAAGTTGATCAAGCCAGCAGTTTCAAGGAAACCACTTCTTCATGGGTCCCACACAAAAAGTTGAACTTGTTGGTGGGATATGGTATAGATTCCTCCAAATCCAAGTCTAAAAGCCTAAGGAACCGCACAGCTGAAATTCAGACCCCCGGACTGCCTGCACCACCTCCTCATTCAAGGAGATCTGCGGACGCCGGGCCATGGCTCGAGGCGATCAGCCCCGAATATTCCGAGGCGACGCTTCAACGAGGCGGCCAAAGGGGGAGAGTCAGGGCGACACCAAAAGACCAACTTGTTTCAAGATGGAGACATCACGGCTCTCAAAAAGTTCTTCATGAGTCGGAGCTCGAAGCACTCAACAGATCACGTATAACATTGTGTATTGCATATATATATATATATATACACATACACAGCCAGGTGGGCAAGATGATTGCAATTCTGGCTCATCTCATTGAGCCTTCAGCGCGGTCCCACGGTGAAACCTGTGTGCTTCGAAGCCCTCGAAGGGCTGAGCCAAATGCAGCGGTATACCCCAAGGTTCCTTCAGGGGTGATGATGGGCAAAATCCTCAGCCGGTTCATTCGTAAAGTTTCGTTCATCCCAACTGGTGCAGGAGGTTCTTCATCAGTATGGCCCCGCCTGTTGACATAGCCCGCAAGTGTTGTTCAAATCACCCAACAAAAACGCAGTGAGATGCAAATTGACCTTCGCTGCCAGCATGGCAGTGCCTCAAAATGATTGAAGAGAAGAATTGCCTAACCCTGTGCCCGCTGAATCTCTGTCTTGGAGCTACACAATACCTTTTCTTGGGGATTGGCTGAAAGAACTATCCTCCCTCCCACCTGACAGGGAAATAGTATTTTCAGTACGAAAATGTGTTTGTTTCAGGAATTTCTGGTAGGAATTTCAAGGTGCTATGGGTGTGGGAGGAAGGGTAGATTTGGGTTTGCTTTAAAGCGGAACTGAAAGAAGGATTTAAGCATAGGTCAACGTCCCACTCTGCACAAACATGATCTGGGCCCGTGACGGGAGAGAAGCGTCTGCACATCCTGCCTGAATGCAATGCGATCTTGGGCCTGGAAGGGACCGACTTGTGTCCTAAAATAGGGATCCGCTGAAAATCGTTTGGCATCCCTTTTGGTGTCCCTTTCAACATCATCTAAAAGGGGCCTTGACAGGGTCCCTCAATCTCCCGAAACACCCATCACAAGTTTACCTGAAGGGTGGAATGAATGCTCTGATTTGAGGCCTGTGCTTGTCCCAAAGCCTCACATCTCTTGCCTGTGGCTGCTGTAGATCGTCAAAAAGGCAGCTAACCACGTCCAGAAGCAGAGTTCCAGGCCAATTTTGTCTCTGACAAGAAAGCGGCTGCACAAGGTAGTATGAATCACTCATCTAAAATCGATATCATATCAAGGATACCTCTTAAGATGATCTTCATCGTGAGTGTCTCGCTTTCGCGCCTTCGGTCTGATATGTATCCCTTCTCGTGGTGGGTGAGTAGTCATGGTTCGTGTGATGCTTCTTGGGGGGAGGGTAATCTTTAAGAGGGAAATAAAGGGCAATCATGATCCAACACAGAGCTTTGCATTCTTGACCAAGCGGACTGTAGACTCATTGGGGACAGCTTAGTGGACGCATGCAAGATGATGACACCAATTGTTGTTTGTGGCTGGCAACTCTGGCATGAAGGAACCATACTACCAAGCAAGCTCACCTTTGAATTCCAGTAGGGGTCGCGAATCAATTTGCCCACAAACACGTTTCAAGACCCAATGTTTGGGGGTTCTATATATAGTTATACTTGCTTCCCTAGGTTTTACGTACACGCATGAAACCATGTAGTGGAACCATGTAACCCTGACCACCCGACCGCGCCTCTGGACCTTGTGATCCGGCTCCTAGGAGACTTAAACGAATGCCTTCTGGGCCCCCGGCTCTCGATTTGGTGTGTTTGTGCTTGTATTTGTGCGTTAGTGTTAGTGTTTGTGCATGTGTTTGCTTGCATTTCTATATTTCTGCGTGTCTCTGTGTATATTTTATATACGTGTGTTTGTGGTAGCATGATAGTTATTGTGAGTGCGATTGCCAATGTGCCTATCATTCTGTGGTTGTGGTGATTGTGACTGTGGCTGCGATGGTGAGTGTGAATGCAAGTACATGTGAGCGTGCGTGCATGACTGCCTGCTTGCGTGCGCGCCTGTCCCTGCGTGCCTGCGTGCATGCATCCATAGTAGACTTTCTTGTCTCAGTCATGGCGCCGCCTTCACACAACCCACTTCCGCATCGGGGTCTCTCTGAATAATCTTTCAGCTCAAAGGCAGCCAGGTCTGAAAAAACAAACACAACTCGGCCAGGTCGGCTTTGGGACTCAGCTGAGCCAGTCAAAATGACTTGTTCCCGTAAGAGAACATGGTAACATGAGCATTTAGTGAATCCCCAAGGTTTGGTGGGCAATGAGTCCCCCCACGTCCCTCCCGAATGGACCATGGACAATTCAGGAATGTTGACAGAACTTCAGCTGGCTGGACAAAAACACCCTCCCATATGCCTCCCCGGTGGCAAGCCAAATGCATACAAGCCACCGGTGGCTTTTCAGGCGGTGGTAGCCTAAGTGGACGGGCTTTGTGCCGCACGAAAGTGCTTGATGTAAATCATCATGAGAGTTTCATCGGATCAGACTGGTGCTGCACCGAGGCAAATGCATTTCACGCGTCAGTGACCTCAGATCGCAGAAGTCGGTGGCACGACAGGCCGTGCAAAGGCGGTTGTGCAAGCGTCTGAAAATTGAGATGTGTGCGCAAGCCACATGTCCTGAAAAGGGCAAAGCCCAACCAGATCTAAACCAGTTTCGAAAAGGACCTCGGACTTCAGAGGATGTTGCGACTTAGCTCCCTGAAATCTAAAATCCTTGCTCTTCCAGCGCAGACGACCTGTCGGTGTGCGGCCACGTCTATGCATGTTAAAACGATGCAGCTATGGGGTGCCTGTGATCCCATTCGGAGCCATTCAGAGTAAAGTCAGTCACCTAGCCAAGTAAAACTTATAGATCGGAGGGGATCGGGGAATCCGTTGCCGCTTTTAGGTTTTAGGGAGGGAGTCCATTCAATCTTGAAGACGTTTCTGCTAATTAACATGGAACCCAAAAGCGGCAATCTGTAGAGGAAGCATTTGGGGGGCCCTTTTTGGCTCCATATCAATTTGGGAGGGGGGGTTGTAACCACGACAAAAACGCGATTTTGTCACCATGACAAGGTGCAATGTTACCACGACAGAAAAAAAGCGCTACAGCGATAAGTTTCTTGCGGGCTTATCCCGACAAGCAAGGAAATAGAAATGAAGAACAAGGTCAATAGAAAGGAATAAGCAGGAATAAGAAGGTCAAAAAGAAGAAGAATAGAAAAAAATAAGAAGGAATAAGAATGTCAATAGAAACAAATAAGAAAGAATAAGAAGATCAATAGGAAGGAATAAGAAGGAATAAGAATGACAAAAGAAAGGAATAAGAAGGAATATGAAGGTCAATAGAAAGGAATGAAAAGGAATGAGAATGTGCATAGAAAGGAATGAGAAGGTTCTTAAACCTTTCTATTGCTTGTTCATTCTTTTTCTGTTTTATTGACCTTCTTATTCCTTCTTATTCCTTCTTATTCCTTTCTATTGACCTTCTCATTCCTTCTTATTCCTTCTTATTCCTTGCTATTGACCTTCTTATTCCTTCTTACTCCTTCCTATTGACTTCCTTTTTATTCCTTTCTATTGACCTTCTTATTGATTCTTATTCCTTTCTACTGACCTTCTTATTCCTTTCTATTGACCTTCTTATTCCTTCTTACTGCTTCCTATTGATCTTCTTATCTTTCTTATTCCTTTCTAGTGACCTTCTCATTCCTGCTTATTTGACCTTCTGCTTCCTTTCTATTGACCTTCTTATTCCTTTCTATTGGCCTTCTGATTCCTTCTTATTCCTTTCCATTGACATCCTCATTCCTTTCTGTTGGCCTTTTCATTCCTTTTTATTCCTTTCTATTGACCTTCTTATTCCTTCTTATTCCTTTCTATTGTCCTTCTTATTCATTCTTATTCCCTCCTATTGACCTTCTTATTCCTTGACCTTCTTATTCCTTCTTATTCCTTTCTATTGACCTTCTTTTTCCTTTCTATTGACCTTCTTATTCCTTTCTATTGACATTCAAACTCCTTCTTATACGTTTCAACTTGACCTTCTTTTTCCTTTCTATTGACCTTCTTATTCCTTTCTATTGACATTCTTATATTCCTTTCTCTTGACCTTCGTTTTCCTTTCTATTGACCTTCTTATTCCTTTCTATTGACCTTCTCATTCCTTCTTATTCCTTTCTATTCACCTTCTCATTCCTTTTTATTCCTTTCTATTGACCTTCTTATTCCTTGCTGTTGACCTTCTTACTCCTTTCTATTGACCTTCTCATTCCTTCTTATTCCTTTCAATTGACCTTCTCATTGCTTTCTATTCAGTTTCTCATTCCTTCTTATTCCTTTCTATTGACCTTCTTATTCGTTTCTATTGACATATTATTCCTTTCTTACTGTTGCTGGAGGGGGGGTGTTATTTGTAGCTTTGCTGGTTTGTGGTTTGGGGCAGCGCGCCAAAACCAGGCGCCCCAAAGCCTGACACAAGCCAGTCCGAAGCCACCCAAGTTTACCCAAGTTCAACCATAAGCAGCTAAGCTGAAAAAACAACTAATGCTAAGCGGTGGTCACATGTCGTCACTCCCCAGGTGCCCCCACACGAACCAAAAACCAGCCCTGACAAAGCTTTAAAGTTGCCTAAAGCCTACCCTATTCCTGCCGCAAGAACTCAAGCGGCTTGAAACCAGCCCTGCAACGCAGCGTGGGGCTCACGCCTGTCTTGCGGTGGCAACAGATCAGGGTGAGACTGAGCCCGGTGATACTAGGGATGTTGACCCACAAAGTGTAGATCAAAAGGAGATCTGGCAAATAAAGGCCTGGGCTCCATCCTGAAACATCTAAATTCAACATTTCTGTCTTGAAGGATTCTTGAGTCTGAAGTACGATGATCAAAGAGTGAAAGTCAAACATCGTCTTGGCACACGTCGACATAGCATCGCAAAAGAACTTGTGACGCACCGCAAGATCAATCTGCGAAAGGCTGCACACCTGTAAGTGGGTCTCGTGCCACCTTTGGAGTGAGTTGGCTTCGACTCCATTTTCGTTGCGCAGATTGTGGCGGAGCCACCCAGATCTCTTGAAGGGTCACCCAGCGGGTCTCCGTTCTTGAATAGCCTCTGGATGGCATCTCTCCAGGGCATGCGCCCTCGGCGAAGAGTCTTGACACAGAATCCATTCACACTCGCATGGGAGAGCTCTGTTCGGTCGGCTTTGTCAGCGAAAGTTTTGGAATGGTCTTCATCTCCATCAACATGCCTTGAAGCGCCTCTTGCAATCCAATACCCCAAGTAGTCACTGGAGCGACCCGTCAAAGGCATCGGCGCCAATGCCAGTGCAACTTGTGACTCGTAAGACAAAGCCAGGAATTAGCCTCGGGCTCAGGAGGTCCCCGCTGAGTTTAGCTAAACCTCCTTGTGGAGTGGCCGGCGCCGCTGATTAGGCACACACAGCCATGGATCATTCTTTGGACCCTGATCCCCGCAAGGATTCAGTAGCTGATGTTCTGCTTGCCCTGCCATTGAGCTTCTTATTCCTTTCTATTGACCTTCTCATTCCTCATTTTTCCTTTCTCATGAACTTCTCATTCTTTCTTATTCCTTTTTATTGACCTTCTCATTCCTTTCTATTGACCTTCTTATTCCTTTCTATTGACATTCAATTTCCTTCTTATTCCTTTCTATTAACCTTCTTATTCCTTTTTCATTGACATTCAAATTCCTTCTTCTACCTTTCAATTGACCTTGTTTTTCATTTCTTTTGACATTCTGTTTCCTTTCTATTGACCTTCTTATTCCTTCTTATTCCTTTCTATTGACCTTCTCATTCCTTCTTATTCCTTCTTATTCCTTTCTATTGACCTTCTTATTCCTTCTTACTCCTTCCTATTGACTTCCTTTTTATTCCTTTCTATTGGCCTTCTTATTGATTCTTATTCCTTTCTACTGACCTTCTTATTCCTTTCTATTGACCTTCTTATTCCTTCTTACTCCTTCCTATTGATCTTCTTATCTTTCTTATTCCTTTCTATTGACCTTCCCATGTCTTCTTATTTGACCTTCTTTTTCCTTTCTATTGACCTTCTTATTCCTTTCCATTGGCCTTCTGATTCCTTCTTATTCCTTTCTATTGACATCCTCATTCCTTTCTATTGACCTTTTCATTCCTTTTTATTCCTTTCTATTGACCTTCTTATTCCTTCTTATTCCTTTCTATTGTCCTTCTTATTCCTTTCTATTGACCTTCTTATTCCTCTCTATTGACCTTCTTATTCCTTTCTATTGACCTTCTCATTCCTTCTTATTCCTTTCTATTCACCTTCTCATTCCTTCTTATTCCTTTTTATTGACCTTCTCATTCCTTTCTATTGACCTTCTTATTCCTTTCTATTGACATTATTATTCCGTCTTATTCCTTTCTATTGACTTTCTTACTCCTTTGTATTGACCGTCTTATTCCTCTCTATTGACCTTCTTATTCCTTTCTATTGACCTTCTCATTCCTTCTTATTCCTTTCTATTGACCTTGTTTTTGTTGTTGACCTTCTTACTCCTTTCTATTGACCTTCTCATTCCTTCTTATTCCTTTCTATTGACCTTCTCATTCCTTTCTATTCACCTTCTTCAATAGAAAGGAATAAGAAGGAAATTGAATGTCAATAGAAAGGAATAAGAAGGTCAATAGAAAGGAATGAGAAGGTCAATAAAAAGGAATAAGAAGGAATGAGAAGGTCATGAGAAAGGAAAAAGGAGGAATGAAGGCCAATAGAAACGAATAAGAAGCTCAATGGAAAGGAAGAATATGTCAATAGAAATGAGTAAGAAGGTCAATAAAAAGGAATTGACCTTCTTATTCCCTTTTTATTGACATTCAAATTCCTTCTTATACCTTTCTATTGACCTGATTTTTCCTTTCTATTGATCTTCTTTTTCCTTTCTATTGACATTATTATTCCTTCTTACTCCTTTCTGTTGACCTTCTTATTCCTTTCTATTGACCTTCTTATTCATCTCTATTGACCTTCTCATTCCTTTCTATTGACCTTGCTATTCCTTTCTATTGACCTTCTCATTCCTTTCTATTGACCTTCTTATTCCTTTCTATTGACCTTCTCATTCCTTCTCATTGCTTTCCAATGACCTTCTCATTCCTTCTTATTTCTTTCTATTGACCTTCTCATTCCTTTCTATTGACAGTAGTTGTTGTGATAGTAGTAGTTAGCAGTAGTATGTAGTAATAGTAGCAGTAGTAGTAGTAGTAGTAGTAGTAGAAGCATTAGTAGCATTAGTAGTAGTAGTAGTAGTAGTAGTAGTAGTAGTAGTAGTAGTAGTGGTATTAGTAGTAGTAGTGGTAGTAGTAGTAGTATTAGTAGAAGTAGTAGTGGTAGTAGTAGTAGTAATCGTATGAGCAGTAGCAGTAGTAGTAGTAGCCGTAGTAGTAGTAGTAGTAGTAGTAGTAGTAGTAGTAGTAGTAGTAGTAGTAGTAGTAGTAGTAGTAGTATTCCTTGCTATTGACCTTCCATTCCTTCTTACTCCTTTCTATTGACATTCTTACCTTGTCGGGATAGTCTTCACTGAAACTTGTCGGTGTAACGATGTTTTTTGTCGTTGTAACATGTTCTTTGTCGTGGTTACAACCCCCTCTAATCAATTTGGGGAGTAAGGTTATCAGTCAAAGGACAAACCCGACCAGCGGGTTCAGAACATGAGCCAAGGATCTAAGGCAATCGTTGATGCTTGAGGTGTTCTGGTTTCTTTGCCGGGATGCTTGTTTCGGCTGTACAGCTCCAAGCGCCCTGGCTTTGACGCGTCTACCGTAGCTACTCCAAGCTCCCAGTCAACCTCTCACAAGAAAAAGGAGGACATTAATCGCCTTGGGAACCCTTTTCAACACATGTGTTTTACCCAAACAACAGCGGGGGTGCAAATGCCAAGAGCGCGGGGCACAGTTCCAGAGTTGAAGCCTCCAGGGTCGGGGTGTCTGTCTAACGTTTGTCCTCAGTGAGGACCTAAACCACAACACGGACGATGAAATTTGACGAACTTCTACAGCACCAACAAGATCTACCGGCGTTCTGGTCAGGGGATCCGACATGTTCAACCACGAAATATGTTTGTTGACATCCATGTACTGTTTGGATTATTTCCTGGTCAGGGCAGCTTCCACAATCGCCAGCATCTGCCACCAGCCCAAACCCGAAACAGGCAGCCGATCTCCTGAGGCCTCGACAAATGCACTCGCTGGCCCCATGCGGACGGCAAGGCTGCTCTGCTTTCTGCTATTTGCTATTTGCAAGGGTTGTTGAAAATAGGGAGGAAGCCAAAGGCCCCCCCGCAGCCGCAAAGGCTCGTGAGAACCTTGCTAGCTGAGAATCTTTCTGAGGGAGGAGAGGTAGTGGAGGTGGGGCCATCCCAATCTCTCTCTTGATTGTTGTGACTGTCGTTGGGAAGAGGTTCATGCTAAGCTGGGTGTTTGGTGATGGGTACAAGCCGTGTGTAGCTTATGTCAGCCATGTTGAAACACAGTTGCAAAGCACATGCTGGAAGGTTCTCGGAGGATGACATCTTAATGAAATTCTGTAAAGGGTTGGTCCTCCTGCGATCTTGTTTAAGGAGAATCAATCCAGATGAATCGGCTGGCCACATACCTGAGAGGACAAGGGTTGAAGTAAACCAGTTATAGTCTTGCGTGTGTTTTTGGAGAGGTTCCTTCTCAGGTTGCCATAAAGAGAAACCGAAAGGAAAGCTTTGCGGCTCGAAATCCTTACTTTGACACATACCCTGATGTTCCCTCTACACTACCACGCTCGCCACCCAACTTCGCACATGCGTTTTTCCTCGCATGGAAGATTGCCATATCGCCGAGCTGTATCTTTCTTGGCTCGTGAGCCCTGCTGTTTTGTCAGTAGCCAAGGGAACCACCTCTTAAAACTCTACAAACTACCACCCAGATTCACATGGACGGTGTTGCAAAGGACCCTCCTTTTGCATCTTTTCGAGGTTCCATCTTGATTTGCAGGGGAGTAAAAGGAAGCTGGCTTGGTTTCCTAGTGGTTTGCCTGGAGTCTGAGATGAGATTTCCACGGCGTGTTGGTTGCAAAACCAACAGGTCCCGACAAATTAAATGGTTGTGTCTCTAAATGTCGAAACTCACTCTGAAACTGGGCGGCCTCCCGCCGGTTTCCCTTTAAGTGTTTTCGCATGATTAGTTCATCCTCTGGTTGGCAAAGCATCACAACTATCTTTCAATGATGGCTCTTCAGCACCCCGACAAGGGTACCAACCCAAAAAAGAAATCACACACATAGAGACCACACACTTGTCGTGTCAACCACAGACAAAGCGTGTAAATTTGGGAGCCACACCGAAACCACACACCCGACAAAAACCAAAACAAAGACCCAGAAGCAACAATGTTTCTGTCGATGCATGTGTCTTTCTGAAACTGTTTTGGTGTTCACAGGGCACATGCAATGTTCAGGGCCAACCCTCCCCCCTTTGTCTGGTGCTCCATCCCTCGGCTCAGGGCGCTCTCTCAGCCGTTCGTCACTTTCCCTGACGTGAACGAGTCGCATGTGATGCAACCGGCCTTCTCCAGGTGTCTAGCTATCTCCAAACAAGGGCGGTGTCTCCAAATTGGAGACCCCTAAAAGGGGTCATTGCATGGCTTCGCTTGTACCCACAAAGGGAAAGCACATGGATCTGCAACCTTGACTCACTACAAAAAACAACTTGGTTTGTGGCATTCTATGGTTGGACACCATCATTGAGCCTCACTGAGCATGTTTCAAAATTGGGGAACCCCAAACATGTCTTGCTTCTGCTAGTTTCCGGTTAGATCAACCTGAAAAGGGTACCGTCAAACAAACAGAGTCCCATGTTGGTCACACCGTAGTGCTTCTTTCAATGCCTTGCCAGAGTTCGTCCTTCACACAACCCACTGCGCCTTGCCAGCGCCCTTTGCACCGGGCTTGGGAGCATCCTTGAGGAACCTGGGATTAGATGGAATCGAAAAGCCCAAAAGCAACGCAGGGCCGCTTGCAACACGATGTGTCACTATCTGTGTCACTATCTGGGAACCCCCCTTCTTGTTGATTCTGAAGGGAAGCCAAAAGAAGACCCGTCATTTGGAGCGCTGCCCCCATTTGACACAGCCAATGTGAGTCTATCCTCTGCGGCCCCCTTCATCCGTGGCTTTGTGCTTTTGAAGCACCACGCAAACGTTGCCAATCCTGGCCATTCTCAACCATTGCCTGCCATGTATAAGCCTTCGAGAAAAAATGAGCCTTGTTATTAATCTGCCAAACTTCCTTTCCTTCTTTTTAACCTCCCACCTCCCTAACCCCCACACTGAACCAAACCCGAAGTCAAACCTAAACCAACCCCAAGCTTAAGAAAAATACCAGACCCTCCCTCAACCCACTCTCAAGGTTAGGGTTGGTGTAGGGTAAACCCCTAAGGGTTGGGGTTGGATTAGGGCTGGTTTAGTGTGGGTTTAGGGTTGGTCTAGGGTGGATGTTTGGTTTGGGGTTGGTTTAGGTTGGTTAGGGTCGGTTTAGGTTGGTTAGGGTGGGTTTGCGGTTGGCTTAGGGTTGGTTAAACAAAGCAAAAAAGCGGTTGCCGTGAAGGACATGGGACACTTTAGTGAGTTGCCCGGACTTTGTTGGCTCGTCCCTCGTGTCCCTCCCAAAAGGACTCAAGACTGATCAAAGGACGTGTTGAATGGTCAAAGACTGACAATCTCATTGGCACGGATGCGTGGCAGCCGCGGCGAAAGTGCAGATATGGTTGCAGGCGCAGCACTCAAGGTCAAGTACAGATGTCGCGGCAGTCGCCGCCCTTTCGCGAGGTGTGAGGCAGAGGTAGATGGATGGATGGATGGATGAATGGATGGATGGAGGGAGGGAGGGAGGGAGGGGTAGATGGGTGGATGGGTGGATGGGTGGCTGGGCGGGTGGGTGTGTGGGTGGGTGGGTGGGTGGGTGGGTGGTTGGGCGGGCGGGCGGGCGGGTGGGCGGGCGGGGTTTGGCTGGGGTGTGGGTGGGGTGTGAGCGGGGTGTGGGTGGGGTGTGGGGTGTGGGTGGGTGTGGGTGGGTGTGGGTGGGTGTGGGTGGGTGTGGGTGGGTGTGGGTGGGTGTGGGTGGGTGTGGGTGGGTGTGGGTGGGTTTGGGTGGGTGTGGGTGGGCGTGGGTGGGTGTGGGTGGGCGTGGGTGGGCGTGGCTGGGTGTGGGTGGGTGTGGGTGTGGGTGTGGGTGTGTGAGTGGGGGTGTATGGATATGGGTGTGTGGGTGTGGGTGTGGGTGTGGGTGTGGGTGTGTGAGCGGGTGTGTGAGTGGGGGTGTGTGGATATGGGTGTGGGTGTGTGGGTGTGGGTGTGTGGGCGTGGGTGTGTGTGGGTGTGGGGGTGTGGGTGGTGTGGGTGGTGTGGGTGGTGTGGGTGGTGTGGGTGGTGTGTGTGGTTTGGTGTGGTGTGGTGGGGTGGGGTGGGGTTGGGTGGGGTGGGGTGGGGTGGGGTGTGGTGCGGGGTGTGGGGTTGGGTGGGGTGGGTGGGGGGGGGTGGGGTGGAGTGGGGGGGGTGGGTGGATGGGTGGTAGGTAAGGTAAGGTAAGGAAAGTTAGGTTATGTTAGGTTGTGTTAGGTTATGTTAGGTTATGTAGGTAGGTAGGTAAGGTAAGGTAAGGTAAGGCAAGGCAAGGCAAGGCAAGGCAAGGCAAGGCGAGGCGAGGCGAGGCAAGGCAAGGCAAGGCAAGGCCAGGCCAGGCCAGGCCAGGCCAGGCCAGGCAAGGCAAGGCAAGGCAAGGCAAGGTAGGAAAAATAGATAAATAGATAGATAGACAGATAGATAGACTAGATTAGATTAGATTAGATTAACGTATATTAGATTAGGTTAGATTCAATTAGATAGATAGACAGGTTAGACAGGTTAGACAGGATAGGTAGGATAGATAGGATAGATAGGATAGATAGGATAGATAGGATAGATAAAATAGATAAAATAGATAAGATAGATTCAGATGAGGCAAGATGAGATAAGATAAGATACGATTGATTGATAGATTTCTTGACAGACAGACAGACAGACAGACAGACAGACAGACAGACAGACAGACAGACAGACAGACAGACAGACAAATGGAGAGAGATGAGTAGATATTGAAACACATAGGAAGCTACATAGGTAGAGAGAACAGAAAGTGTGTTTCAGCGGACAAACAAAGATAGAACCAAAGCCGAAGATAGAAATACAGGTTAGACGCACGAGAAAGAAAGAAAAGAAGAAAGAAAGAAAGAAAGAAAGAAGGAAAGCAAGCAAGCAAGGAAGGAAGGAAGGAACAAAGAAAGAACGATGAAAGAGAGAGAGACAGAGAGACAGAGACAGCAAGGCTGAGGAAAGCAAGGAAAAAAGACCAAAAGAAAGAAACTGAAAAACACATTAAGAAAGAAAGAAAGAAAAACGAAAGAGAGACAACAAACAGGAAGAAGATAGAAATCAAGGAAACTAATTAGACGCATAACTATAACTATACTATAGCAATTGAAACTTCCGCCCACAGGCTGCGCCGGATGTACTGGTATGTTGACCGAACCTACGAAACTACAAACGTCCTGTTTGGCCCTGGTGACCTGGCCGGGGTGCACCTAAACTCGTCCTGCAGAGCCCTTTCGAGGGCCTAAAAAACACACCGCTTGGAAGGAAGCTGTGGGACAAATGATAGCTCCAGTTACTAAGTTACCCCCTCTTTGTTCACCCGCATGTGACATCTACAGGCTTGGCTCCCAACTGGTTGAAGGTCTCCGCTGGGTTGATGAGCTTGTTCTCCTCATCCTGAGTGTGGTTTGTGCTATTTAGTGCCCCTGAATACCACATGTCTCCATCGCCGCACCTTCCGTTGATGGGGGGGTCGTCGAAAAACAAAGACGAAATCCATTCTTGGGGGTCCCCCTGGTAGAAAGCACTGATTTAATCACTGCCAAGCTGAGTCGGCAGTTTGCTTTTGGCTTCCCTCAAAAGCCACAAAAAGGGAACCCTCAAAAAGACACAACCCATTCTCCGCGGCTCGCACGGATTTCCCAGTTTTACTTGGGCCGCCAACGGTGCCGAAGCAGTAGTAGGTGGCCGCCTCAGGAAAAACGAGGCGGCGCCGACTTCAGCCCACACACTGAAATTCTATGGTCCTACGTACCCCCTACTCCAAATACCCGCTTGTTTGCTTCCTTTTGCTACACAAAAGTGCGTACTTGGAGTACGGGGGCATACTCGAAAATCAGTGGCTGTACATCGGTTATCCTCGAGCCAAGAGTACGTACCCCGACCACCATGCCATGCGGGGTATGCCCATTTGGGTTGAGTAGGACCTTAAAGACATGGAGCGTTTCCGAAAAATAGGGAGCTCCCGGCTTGAGTTTGAACAAATCGGGGACCTTGTGGTGGATGTCATTTAGGATAGAACTTACGTCCACCAACCACTTTTGAGGTGGTCCCCCAGTAAGATTCATTGTCAGTTGGATGGCTAGGAAAACAATGTCCATTCAAGAATTCTAGTCATAGTTGTTCATTCATCCCCTAACTAAAAGGATGTTCTGTCCGAGGTACGCATGCAGCCTACCAGTGACCCCACAAAATCACAATGTTCTACGTACGAGTACAATTGTCCGTTTGTGCACAACTTTCATCCCATCTTCGATTCAACCGCTCACCTTTTTCGCTTGCTGGAATCTCACAAATTTGAGCCAACATGGCGAACCAAAGGCAACGATACGTAAAACATGAACCGTTACATGAAACCCTCATCTACCTCGGGCCAGTTTGGGGTATGCACTTGCGGAAGTGTGGCCTTGGAATGCCAAAAGCGCCTTACCTCCCACCATGCGAGTGATTCGCCCTGCGAGTCGGATACGACGCCCCAAGGAGCGGACGTGGCGGTCTTCCGCGCTCCTCATAGCTCCCACAAAGCTATCGAAGCCCGAGTTCGAGGACATGCCTGGAGCTTGAGCTGACCACGCGCAGGCATTCTCAAGCTAGGCAGTTAGGCCTGTCAAAAGAAAGGAAGCTAACATGGAAGAGAAATACATGTGTGTATATCCGCCGACCCTTTCTCTAAACAGGGAAGGCGCACGGGAAGGGTGGTTGGCGCATAAGTATAACCAAAGTTTCATCCTCATCAGCATTGTCACCACAGTCATCGTCATCATCATCATCTTTATCATCATCTCTTTCCTATTCTCTTATCCTTATCATCATTATCATCATGGCCGTCGTCATCTCTTATCGCGCAGCATTGGTGATGCAGAGGATGCTGCGATGATAGTTTTCATCACAGCCGTTGGTGATGCTAAGGATGCTACGACGATAGTTATCATCCTTGTCATCATCTGTATCATAATCTGATCATCACCTAGCTTCATCTAATATCTTTGTATATATAGAAACCAAAAGGGACGTTAGACATCCTTGGCAATGCAAGGGATGCGACGATGAGAGTTATCAAGGAACAAGTAGTGACGCAGAGGATGTTGTGATGATAGTTGTCATGACGCGGATGATAACGATCATCACGCCCGTGCCATTCTCATCATGGTCGCCGTCATCTCTTATCACGCAGCATTGGTGATGCAGAGGATGCTGCGATGATAGTTATCGTCACAGCCGTTAGTGATGCTGAGGATGCTACAGTGAGAGTTATCATCCTTGTCATCATCTTTAGCATCATCGGATCATCACCTAGCATCATCTAATACCTTCTTATATACAGAAATCCAAAGGGACGTTAGACATCCTTGGCAATGCAAAGGATGCGATGATAAAAATTATCAAGGAACAAGTAGTGATGCAGAGGATGTTGTGATGATAGTTGTCATGACGCGGATGATAACGATCATCACGCCCGTGCCATTCTCATCACGGTCGCCGTCATCTCTTATCACGCAGCATTGCTGATGCAGAGGATGCTGCGATGATAGTTATCATCACAGCCGTAGTGATGCTAAGAATGCTACGATGATAGTTGTCATCCTTGTCATCATCTTTGTCATCATCGGATCATCACCTAGCATCATCTAATATCTTATTATATATAGAAACCAAAAGGGACGTTAGACATCCTTGGCAATGCAAAGGATGCGATGATGATAGTTATCAAGGAACAAGTAGTGACGCAGAGGATGTTGTGATGATAGTTGTCATGACGCGGATGATAACGATCATCACGCCCGTGCCATTATCATCATGGTCGTCGTTATCCCTTATCACGCAGCATTGGTGATGCAGAGGATGCTGCGATGATAGTGATCATCACAGCCATAGTGATGCTAAGAATGCTACGATGATAGTTATCACCCTTGTCATCATCTTTGGCATCATCGGATCATCACCTAGCATCATCTAATATCTTACTATATATAGAAATCAAAAGGGACGTTAGACATCCTTGGCAAAGCAAAGGATGCGATGATGAGAGTTATCAAGGAACAAGTAGTGATGCAGAGGGTGTTGAAAGTTGTCATGATGCGGATGCTAACGATCATCACGCCCGTGCCATTATCATCATGGTCGTCGTCATCTCTTATCACGCAGCATTGGTGATGCGGCGGGTGCTGCGATGATAGTTATCATCACAGCCGTGAGTGATGCTAAGGATGCTACGATGACAGTTATCATCCTTGTCATCATCTTTGTCATCATCTGATCATCACCTAGCATCATCTAACATCTTATTATATATAGAAATCAAAAGGGGCGTTAGACATCCTTGGCAATGCAAAGGATGCGATGACGATGCATGTTGTGATGATAACGATCATGACGCCCGTGCAATTATCATCATGGTCGTCGTCATCTCTTATCACGCAGCATTGGTGATGCAGAGGATGTTGCAATGATAGTTATCATCACAGCCGTTAGTCATGCTAAGGATGCTACGATGATAGTTATCATCCTTGTCATCATCTTTGTCAGCATCTGATCATCACCTAGCATCATCTAAATCAAAAGGGACGTTAGACATCCTTGGCAATGCAAAGGGTGCGATGATGAGAGTTATCAAGGAACCAGTAGAGATGCAGAGGATGTTGTGATGATAGTTGTCATGACGCGGATGATAACGATCATCACGCCCGTGCCATTATCATCATGGTCGTCGTCATCTCTTATCACGCAGCATTGGTGATGCAGAGGACACTACGACGATCGTCAGCATGACAGTCATCCATTGCCCAATTGTTTAGACCCTCCTCGTCGTGACAAGGCAGCCAGCCGAGCTTGTCCTCGTTTCTGTGACAGATGTCCTCGTTGCTGTGACAGATGACATCGCTGTGCGAGGTATGTCCTCGTTTGTGTGGTAGAAGTCATCGTGTCGAAGGGATTGCCTTGAGACTCCGAGTGAGCCCTGTCAAGCTTGTCAAGTTTGTCAAGTCCGTCAAATCTGGCTTTCTGTGGCCATTTTGGAACTTTCTTATCTTCTTCCAAGCCGGCTTTGCATCACTGCGCGTGCAAAAATGGTCCCCAACTTGGGCCCAGTTTTGCGCAAACACTGGAAAACACTGTGCTTTTCTACGTTTTTGACGGCTGGAAAGGCGCAAATGTGGAAATCTGCTTAACAGTGAGGCTATACTGATCCCCATCTAAGCTCGGTTTTGGGTATGGTTTTCGCTCAAGACATGAGCAAAGCACTGTTTTTGACACTTTCGCGTGGGCGCAAGGCCTCGGAAGCGTGAAAAAAATGTTTTTTGCGGAAACCTGCTTATTGGTGAGGCTTCACTGGCCCCCGCCAAGCCCCGCTTTGGACATTGCATTGCCTACAGCGAAGTGTTTCGAAATAAGAGTGAGTGAGTGAGTGAGTGAGTGAGTGAGTGAGTGAGTGAGTGAGTGAGTGAGTGAGTGAGTGAGTGAGTGAGCGAGCGAGCGAGTGAGTGAGTCAGTGAGTGAGTGAGTGAGTGAGTGAGTGAGTGAGCGAGTGAGCGAGTGAGCGAGTGAGTCGAGTGAGTGAGTGAGTGTGTGTGTGTGTTGAGTTGATGTCAGTGTGTGTGTGTTGCGATGTTACTACTGTGCACTACCTGCCATCTTAGTAGATCTTTTTTGCTACACGCTTATGGGCCTGCTTCCTTCCGCAAACGTGCCTCGCGCAAGTTGCCCCGTGCTTCGAACAGATTGCAGTAAACTGGGCTGCCGGCGCGGCCGGTGGTGCGTCAGCAACGTAAATCCGGCCGTGCCCCCCGAAGGGGGCGAAGAGGCTGTGTGTAGATCCCTCCCACCCGCTGGGGAGAGGCTGTGTGCCCCACCAGGTGGGAAGGGGTTTACCTGCGCCGCCGACTTTCTTTCCCCCAATATGTATCAGCCCATAGTGGGCCGGCATTCAAGAAACACAATTCGGCGGTACCCCCCCCCCGACCATGGGCCCCAACTTGGGCCCAGTTTTGCGCAAACACTGGAAAAAACTGTGCTTTTCTACGTTTTTGACGGTTGGAAAGGCGCAAAATGTAGAAACCTGCTTAACAGTGAGGCTATACTGATCCCCATCTAAGCTCGGTAGACATGAGCAAAACACTGTGTTTTTGACACTTTCGCGTGGGCGCAAGGCCTCGGAAAGCGTGAAAAACATAAGTTTTTTGCGGAAACCTGCTTGGTGAGGCTTCACTGGCCCCCGCCAAACCCGGCTTTGGAGAGGGTTTGAGAGCTCAAGTCTGCGCAGCCTGCGTGTTACTACCTGCCATCTTAGTAGATGTTTTTTGCCACACGCTTATGGGCCTTCTTCCTTCCGCAAACGTGCCTTGCGCAAGTTGCCCCGTGCTTCGAACAGATTGCAGTGAACTAAGGCTGCCGGCGCGGCCGGTGGTGCGTCAGCAACGCCTGAAGGGGGCGAAGAGGCTGTGTGTAGATCCCTCCCACCCGCTGGGGAGGGGTTTACCCCTCCCCTTACCCCTCCTCACGGGGTGCCCCCCTGTGCCGCCGACTTTCTTTCCCCCATATGGGTTTGTATTTTTTAGTGTGGCCGGGCAGGAAGGTTTGAGTACGGGGTATGATTCGCAGGTATGATTCGCGGGTATGATTCGGGGTATGATTCGGGGGTATGATTCGCGGAAGCAGCAGCAGCAGCAGCAGAAGTAGTAGCAGTAGTCGCCGAAGTAGTAGTACTAGTGGTAATATTGTAGTAGTAACAATAGTAGTAGTAGTAACAATACTAGTAGTAGTAGTAGTAGTAGTAGTAGTAGTAGTAGTAGTAGTAGTAGTAGTAGTGGTAGTAGTAGTAGTAGTAGTAGTTGTAGTAACAATACTAGTAGTAGTAGTAGTTGGTAGTAGTAGTAGTAGTAGTAGTTGTTTTTGTGGTCCTAGTAGTAGTAGTAGTAGTAGTAGTAGTAGTAGTAGTAGTAGTACTACTAGTAGTCGTGGTAGTAGTAGTAGTAGTAGTGGTAGTAGTAGTAACAGTAGAAGCAGCGACGTAGTGGCGCGGAAGCTTTGAAAAGACTTGGCGCTGGCCTTGGCAAGGCAAGTTCATTGCGCGGGTATGATTCGGGTATGATTCGCGGGTATGATTCGGCTAGGTGCAAAACGGCACTGATTACAAACTCGTAGTAGCTGTGTGTAGTAGTAGTAGTAGTAGTAGCAGTAGTAGTAGTAGTAGTAGTAGTAGTAGTAGTAGCAGTTGCAGAAGTAGTGGTAGCAGCTGTAGCATAAGCAGCAGCGGCTGTAGTGGTGCGGACGCTGTGAAAAAGACTTAGCACTAGCCTTGGCAGGGGAAGCTCATTGTCCGGGTATGATTCGGGTATGATTCGCGGGTATGATTCGGCTAGGTGCAAAACGGCACTGATTACAGACTCAGAATGATGTATGTGGTAGTAGTGAGTAGCAGCAGCAGCAGCAGGAATAGTAGTAGTAGAAGTAGTACTAGTAGTAGTAGTAGTAGTAGTAGTAGTAGTAGTAGTAGTGGTAGTGGTAGTGGTAGTAAGAGTAGTAGTAGTAATTGGAGTAGTAGGAGTAGTAGTAGTAGTAGTAGCAGCGGCAGTGGCAGTGGTAGTGGTAGTATTGGGTAGCGCTGGTGGTGGTTGTTGTGGAGACAGTGAACAACACAAAACGGTAGAAGAACAGTAGCATCTTGCAGCATACGTTTTAAGGGGTATGATTCGGGGGTATGATTCGGGGTATGAATCGGGGGTATGATTCGGGGGTATGATTCGGGGAGGTCCCACCTTCTGCCTTTTGAAGCAACTTAACACACCAAAAAAGGACAAACCCATATGTATCAGCCCATAAGTGGGCCTTGTTCACGCAGAAATTCATATACCCCCTGAAGCTGGTCGTCATGTCTCTGAGCGACACAGACGCCAAGATATGCCTGGTGAAGACTGACAGCGCAGGCTGCATTTGTGTTGGAAAGAATACTGGCGAGTTGATCAACCCACTCACTGGTATCACTCTGGCATGCGTGGCTGCCGTGGCTAAGGTAGCTGACAACGTTGGCACTTCGTCTATCTCCATAGATTCGAAGGCCGAAAGGATTGTTTGTGTCAGCATTAAAGCCATTACGAATGGGCAAACAGACATCAAGAGATGAGGTATCAAATGTCTTAGGAATCGCAGTGATAAGGTTCCAATCACGAGAGAGATTCCCAATACGGATACGATCATCCGAAGTTTGTTGAAATGCGAAGGCAACCGTATGATGCGTCCTCTTACCAACTTTCACCAGGCCAACGTGGCAAGCATGTCTGATGTGCTTAGTGAGATGAGGGTAGTACTCAGAGATTCCTCTTGCAAGAACCGGCACAGCAGAGTGATTGCTATAATGCTGGAGGCAGAATGTGTGCATTGACAAGTTTAATCAGGGGCCCGAAGTGTTTACCAAGAACTATAGCCAGACAACAGGGATTTTGTTGTCGGTACTTGATGGCAAAACTCACATCTTGGGCGTGCGTAGTGAGGATCCAAAAGTTATTAGGAAGTTTACCTCTGATGGCGCTGGGCGTGGCGGCAAAGACAAATACATGGTCAACTGAAAGCACCTTTGGATGGGAAGAGATGCACTTGAGCGCTTCACGAAAGGCCTCTTCTTTAGTGTCATCGGTCCAATGCTCATATTCAAGAGACAATGATTGACCAAATGCCATCTGCCATTCATCATCATCCAGGCTGACTTCTGTGGGAGTATCCATCGGATCTGCACTTTTGTTGCAGAGACCACTCGCTTGATTTCTAGGCACAGCAGCGCACGAAGCAATATCTGAGTCCAGTTCAGTATGTGCAGTCATCTGAACTGCAGCACACATGGATTCGTCAATAGGCGTGGCAATTTTCTGCCTAGACAGATTATGGGGTGGGGTCATACCTGAACTGTATGAAACAATGGGATCTTCAACATTTATTCCCGTAGTTTCCTTGGCTTTGGGTAGGCCCTGATCATGGCTGGCAAGGGTGTGAAAAGCAGTCCCATAATATGAAGTCTTCTGAGTGATCTTAGGTCCTGGCACGGAATCAATCAGCTCATCATCACTGTCTGGAACGGAGGAAGCAGGTAGGGTACTGGGAGCACCACTGACCTTCTTCACTGGATCGGCATGAGATGTCACAGGCGAGAAAAACTTCTTGATTTGCTCCTCGGGAAGGTGCACGGTAGTTGAAGGCTTTCGGAGCTAATGAATCTTATCAAGTGCCTCACTCTTTTTCTTTTTCAAATTTGGGACTTTACTCTCCGAAGATGGATGTTTCATCCTTGCCTTGCCAAGAGCATGGGTGGCAAAGGCTGCTGAATCACTCTTACCGGCTCTGTGCTCAGCCTTGGCTTCTTTAGGCAATGCTTCTGCACAGGTCTGCCTCTGAAGGCCTCATTTTGGTCAGGATCTGCTTCTTGTGTATTCATATCTTGGCAAAGATGTCTGCAAGGGAAACAAAAGGTTGTTTCCAAGAAAGCAAGGAAACACAAGCCTGACCTTACCAAGGTGGACGGGGCCCACACTAGGCAAGGAGTAGGCCGGGTTAGGGAACCTTGGCAAAAGCACGAACCCAGGCGAAATTTCAGGCCAAATGAAACAGGGGATTTGCAAGCGGACCCAAAGAATCCAACCCTACCGGCAGGTTCAAGAAACACAATTCGGCTCTTGGGGGTATACCCCCCACCCGAGCATGGGCCCCAACTTGGGCCCAGTTTTGCGCAAACACTGGAAAACACTGTGCTTTTCTACGTTTTTGACGGCTGGAAAGGCGCAAATGTGGAAATCTGCTTAACAGTGAGGCTATACTGATCCCCATCTAAGCTCGGTTTTGGGCATGGTTTTCGCTCAAGACATGAGCAAAACACTGTGTTTTTAAAACTTTCGCGTGGGCGCAAGGCCTGGGAACGCGTGAAAAAAAGCCCCCGCCAAACCCGGCTTTGGAGATTGCATGGCCTACAGCGAAGTGTCTCGAAATAGGAGTGAGTGAGTGAGTGAGTGAGTGAGTGAGTGAGTGAGTGAGTGAGTGAGTGAGTGAGTGAGTGAGTGAGTGAGTGAGTGAGTGAGTGAGTGAGTGAGTGAGTGAGTGAGTGAGTGAGTGAGTGAGTGAGTGAGTGAGTGAGTGAGTGAGTGAGTGAGTGAGTGAGTGAGTGAGTGAGTGAGTGAGTGAGTGAGTGAGTGAGTGAGTGAGTGAGTGAGTGAGTGAGTGAGTGAGTGAGTGAGTGAGTGAGTGAGTGAGTGAGTGAGTGAGTGAGTGAGTGAGTGAGTGAGTGAGTGAGTGAGTGAGTGAGTGAGTGAGTGAGTGAGTGAGTGAGTGAGTGAGTGAGTAAGTGAGTGAGTCAGTAAGTGAGTGAGTGAGTGAGTGAGTGATTGAGTGAGTGAGTGAGTGAGTGAGTGAGTGAGTGAGTGAGTGAGTGAGTGGGGTGAGTGAGTGTGTGTGTGTGAGTGAGTGAGTGAGTGAGTGAGTGAGTGAGCGAGCGAGCGAGTGAGCGAGTGAGCGAGTGTGTGTGTGTGTGTTGAGTTGATGTCAGTGTGTGTTGCGACGTTGCAATGGGAAAGGTACTTACAACTGGCATGTTTTGGAGGCGCGGGCATTCTGCATGCAGATTGATTAGTCGTACCTGCCATCTTAGTAGATGTTTTTTGCCACACGCTTATGGGCCTGCTTCCTGCCGCAAACGTGCCTCGCGCAAGTTGCCCCGCGCTTCGAACAGATTGCAGTAAACTGAGGCTGCCGGCGCGGCCGGTGGTGCGTCAGCAACGTAAATCCGGCCGCGCCCCCTGAAGGGGGCGAAGAGGCTGTGTGTAGATCCCTCCCACCTGCTGGGGAGGGGTTTACCCCTCCCCATACCCCTCCCCACAGGGGTGCCCCCCTGTCGCCGACGTTCTTTCCCCCATAGGTTTCAGCCCATAGTGGGCCGGCAGGTTCAAGAAACACAATTCGGCTCTTGGGGGAACCCCCCCCCCCCGAGCATGGGCCCCAACTTGGGCCCAGTTTTGCGCAAACACAAAAACAGTGAAAAACATAAGTTTTTTGCGGAAACCTGCTTATTGGTGAGGCTTCACTGGCCCCCGCCAAACCCGGCTTTGGAGAGGGTTTGAGAGCTCAAGTCTGCGCAGCCTGCGCGTTACTGGGTTTAGGCCATGTGGCTGACATCGTCAGGGTCTGGGGTTGGGCCTGGGTGATGCTTCAGCGGGGCTTGGTCTGCATCATCAAGACTTCCTTCCAAAAAGCCTCTCCACCCAAAAAGCACTGTTTTTAAGTAGGTATCGGAGGGGTATAAGCGAGGCTCATTTTTGCGCATTTTGGCGCCGGGCGCTGCCGGGCATGCCGGCGATGCTGGGTCCTCGCTCTACAAAACGCTGTAAATACCGCCAAAAACTGCTGTGCTGAGCGTTGGGCTGTTGTTCTGTCCGTTTTGCTTTTGCTGTGGCTGGCTCGCGCGCTGCGCGGTCCTTGCTTTTTTCGCGTTGGTTTTCGGGCTTTCTGGCGCGCGCGCGCGCGACCCCAGCCACAAAACGCTGCTATTTACGGTGTTTTGTTTCATTCGCGTTTCCGGCCTGGCTTGCGGGCTGCTCTTTTTGGGCTGCTTTTTTGGGGTCCCTCTGGCGCGCGCGCGCGACCCCATGTCAGCCTTCTGGGTTGGGGCCCGGATGGGGCCCAGAAAGCCGGCATCCCCGGCATTATCTGGGGTTAGGGTGGGCAACATGCATAACCTAACCAGCCATATCATAGCACAAAAACATGACATGGTATAACTTCAAAGAGGCGTAGCCGGCTAGAGGCCGCAGGCCCAGAAAAAAAACAATATATATATATATATATATATGTATCCCTAAACACGTTTGGGATGGTGAAGGCCGACCCAGGTTTGCCCTGGGAGCATTCCACACGCACCTGGCCAAGCGTGTCCCGCTGCTCCGGATTCGTGACGTGAGCCACAAGCTGCAAGGCCGGCGTCCGTGGGAAAACCCGCAACACACAGTTGAGGCGTTTCCCTTCAAGATCCAAGAAAAGAACCATCACACAAAGACACACACACACACACAAACAGACACACAAAGGTTCCAAGCCTCACAATGCAAAAAATGGCACCGAGGCGGCCCTTCCTTTCTATCAGAGCGCATCCTGTCGCGTCTCTCCATCTTCCTCGTCCTGAAAGCGACTCGAGCATCCGGTAGCCCGCCTGTTGACCACCCACCTCAAACAAAACAACAAAAAAGCAACAAACCAACAAACCAACTACCCACCCACCCACACGAGCGGGCAAGCAAGCAAGCAAGCAAGCAAGCAAGCAAGCAAGCAAGCAAGCAAGCAAGCCAGCGAGCAAGCAAGCAAGCAAGCAAGCAAGCAATCCAATCCAATCCAATCCAATCCAATCCAATCCAATCCAAGCCAAGCCAAGCCAAGCAAATCAATCAATGAAAACAATAAATCAACAAAAAAAAACTCCAGCATTTCCTAAAACTGGCTCCAAGGTCACTGGAAATCCTCTCAAGAATCAATCGCGCTGGGGTCGCCCCTGCAATTCCCTTTGCCTCCCATGGGCCTCTCTGCAAATACGGCCAAAAGGCTGCCCATCTCGAAAGACGACGCGCCTCATGCAAGCTGTTTCGCCTGGGCGTAGAGCGTGTCGAGGACCTGGACGAAGGGCTTGGCCACGGGGCTCCATCTGCTAGAGAGGTCTGCTCGTTCCATGTAAGGCGTAAGAAACACAAGGAAAGCAGCCCTCCAAAATCCAAACTCTCCTGGCAGCTTCCATGATTGTTGGGAGGGTAGCCAATACCCTGGTAACGAATCAAAAGGGCGGAGATGTGGCATCTTGAGCTGAGGGTTGGGACTGCCTCAGCACGCTCAAGTATTTTGGCGCAGTCGTAAGGGCAATCCACCCTTGAGCTGTCCGAAAACGAGCAAGGACTGTGTGCACTTCTAGGTTGCTCCCAAGACCTTGGAGTGCAATTTGGCCGGAGGAAGCTGTCCGATTCACCTTGGGCCTTCATCTTGAGAATCGGAGCACCCCCGACCCAGGTTTCTCCGGGTGAGTGCCAAGGCCACAATCGGTCAGGACGCAGTTGTGTGTTCCACGTCTCCCAAATTGACCATAGACTGTTCTAAAACCCAACTTCTGGGCCATGACCGCGGTTGCAGAAAAATATGGTCCGGGCTTTCCCGCCTCTGACGTATTCTTGATGGTTTTCAAGGAGTTGTCATAGGTGGAGCTGACCTGGCCGCGCCGAATCGCCGTTCTTGACTCTCATGTGTGCTCATAGATTTAAAAAGTATGGAGTCGTTGAAAATACACCCTCAGGGCATGACAACAGTGCTTGATTGCCGAGACAACACTTCCACCTTTTTGTGTTTCGGCCCCACCTGCTCCTGGTCGAAGACAATCAGGACTCCGATGCCTGCCAGGCCGGGGACATGTTCTAGGCCTTTGGGCGGCAAACTCTTGTGTTCGTGTCTACGAAGGGAATGAACACTTGCACCTCGCTGAAAAGAGCAAGCTGCCCAGCCTGAAGATGCCATTGAAGTGTGGGCATGTTTTCTGTGTCCAAATTTGAGGTGCCCCCAAAAACTTGCAGGATCATGGGATCGGAGTTCGTTCCGTGCTCCCAAACCTTTCCCAATTTTGAGGTTTCCTCAAACTCCACCAAACTAATTGGATCTTGTCTGTTCGGTTTTCCCAAAACTTTGTGGGCATGCTACTGGCCGCACTGTGCCACTGACGACATGAGGCTCCTTCGGTTCTTCCCAAAACCTTGGGGTTTCCCGGGTTTCCCTCCGGGCCGTTGGCAACCCACGAGTGGCCGGCCCTGGTCCAGAGTGCCATTGAGCTTCTGGTCCAAGATCATCTCACTGAGCTTCGCCTCGCCAAGACACGAAGTCTGAGATTGCCACCCCCACCACTGATCTTAGGGGAACGGGGTCTCGACTCTCTCGACCCGTTCTGAAAGGCTACAACAAGTGGCTGTCTATACCCTGTCTATTGGGATGCAATAAATGAGGAAACAAATGAGGAAACAATAGTGCCAAACGAGAGTACCCAAAAATGCAGGGGCTATGCTAGTTTCCCTAAGGGCTTGACCCGAATGTTCCAGCCAGACCCAACAGGTTAATTGGATATACAGCCACTTTATACCCACTAAGGGGCATATACCCTGGAAATGGAAGCCGATATGTATTGTCAAGGGTGTTATGGTCCTGAAGGGTACAAAAAGGACCATGAACACTTGCGCAGTCCTGTTGGGCACATTTCTCCCCCGATTGTTGGGCGTTATGTATGCATGCAAGTACGTACGTAGGTAGGCAGGCAGATAGATAGGCTTGCTTGATTGTTTGCGTGCTTGCTTGCTTGCCTGCCTGCCTGCCTGTCTGTCTCTCTGTCTGTCTGTCTGTCTGTCTCTGTCTGTCTGTGTTGGTATGCAGCCTGGCGCCCCATCTACGCTCCACGCTCGCTCTTTACGAGCCCACCTGCGTCCGCGTCAAGGGGAGCTCGATGAGCTCAGCTACGTGGGTGATCTCCACCCGGCTGAAGGGCTCCAATATCCTGAACGAGTGACTTGTTTCCGGTTTCGAAAAACCTTGATGGTTCGATAGGGAATAAATTTCGGGTTTTGGGCATGAAGCGATTTTGGGATCCCCTGAAAGGAATGGTTTATAGAAGGTCAGTGCGCCGTTCCCTACTTAAGGCCATAAAGAGACCCTGTCACACGAAAGACGCAGGACACATCCCGTGTGGCAACAAGTGAGACTGGGCCATCCACCAACCCTTACTTTCAAAGGTGAAGCCCGAAGCACCAGAGAAGCAATCCAACATTCTACCTGTGGGTGTCGACTTTTACATGCAAACACGCAGGCAGGGCACTCCAGAAGTGCGCAGTCAAACTGCAAAAGAAAGCGTGACCGCGACCATCCATCCACGGAAATGTCATAAATACCTCTCACTCTCAAAGTCCAAAAGTCTAAGGGCATCTATAGGTGATGCTAAATGGGTTCTAACAACTGGCTCCTTTGGATTTTACATTGTCCTTTGGGGCAAGCGTCGGAACTCGGTATATTGGAACCCCTTCAACAGTTCAACAGATCCCGTGAGGTACGGCTGGAAGCCGCCAAGTCATGAAGGCTGTCCACAATTCTAACACCCAGGAGGTTCTCAGCATAGAGGACTCCTTTCACTATTGTTTGAAGGGAAACCAAAGGAAAATCTGCCATCTGTTGGTGGCGCATTAAGTTGTTCGAGGGGCAATGATAAGAGCAGGCCACTGGGGTTCCAAAGAGGGTCCCTATGTTTGTCAACCGCCTACATCTGAGTTCATTACACTGACATCCTCAAAATTGCCCATCGAAACTCAATGGTATCAAGGCCCATTAAGGGTCATCAAGGGCCATGCCCCTCCCATGCCTTTGTTGCAAGCTCACGCCTGAGAATGTTCTGCTCCAAGAGAGTCTCATTCAGATCGGACAGGTGGAACTGGATGATCGGGTCCTATGACCAGAATTGGTTGCAAACTGTGCTCTGCCCGTGGTCCCATAACCTTGCCGGGCTTATCAAAGACACTTTTGGGGAGAGGGCGTTCTTGTAAATCAAGGGCAAAGGGACCCATTTAAAAATTTCAACTGGGTATGTGTCCAAAAGCAAAAAAGAAGCCCCAAAAAGAATTGAAGGGTGTTCTTTTGCATTCCCTTCAACCAACCCTGAAATGACCCACCACCACACGCCACACCTGGTATTTAAAGGGAACCAACCATCTTAGAGTCTTAGAGGTCCCCTTTGAGAAACGTTCAAGGGAACCCTGAGAAATGTCCAAAGGCTCCTCAGAGAGTTGGTGCTTGTGCTGCTCCAGGACCGCCTCGAATTTCTTCAGGGACCGAGCCTGCCAAGGGGTGGAAAGGTTCGACGTGTGTAAACATTTGGGGTTCCCTGTAAAGGGGATTGGGCTATTCTTTGCATAAACCAATTTTGCCCTGCCAAGTGATCGAACTGCTCAGGAGGTGGATGGGATTCGGTAGCCCCCACACAAAAAAGGAACCATGAAGGATGGGTCCCTGGCAGGGTGATTGGGGATGACCCCACCCGATAAGCATCATAGGCCCCAAGCTCCAATCTGTAGCCAACAATCGCCCGCGAAATGTTGCCAAGCACGCTGTCATGAAGATAGGAAGACCTTCGCCCCGGGCTGTGATCGGAGTCGTCCAGGGCCTTTGGGTCCCAGGGGCATAAGGGACAGCTCCTCGTACCCGAAAGCAGCCGCCTTTATGCTGTTATGCTTTCAGACAGGGCAGCATGAGAGGGAGAGAGGGAGAGAGAGAGAGAGAGAGAAAAAAAAAAGAGAGAGAGAGAGAGAGAGAAAAAAAAGAGAGAGAGAGAGAGAGAGAGAGAAAGAGAGAGAGAGAGAGAGAGAGAGAGAGAGAGAGAGAGTGAAAAAGAGAAAGATAGAGAGAGAGAGCGGGAGGGAAGAAGGGAGGGAGGGGGGGATGGAGAGAGACAGAGGGGGAGAGAGGGAGAGAGAGAGAGCAGGCAGGCAGGCAGGCAGGCAGGCAGGCAGGCAGGCAGGCAGGCAGGCAGGCAGGCAGGCAGGCAGGCAGGCAGGCAGGCAGGCAGGCAGGCAGGCAGGCAGGCAGGCAGGCAGGCAGGCAGGCAGGCAGGCAGGCAGGCAGGCAGGCAGGCAGGCAGGCAGGCAGGCAGGCAGGCAGGCAGGCAGGCAGGCAGGCAGGCAGGCAGGCAGGCAGGCAGGCAGGCAGGCAGGCAGGCAGGCAGGCAGGCAGGCAGGCAGGCAGGCAGGCAGGCAGGCAGGCAGGCAGGCAGGCAGGCAGGCAGGCAGGCAGGCAGGCAGGCAGGCAGGCAGGCAGGCAGGCAGGCAGGCAGGCAGGCAGGCAGGCAGGCAGGCAGGCAGGCAGGCAGGCAGGCAGGCAGGCAGGCAGGCAGGCAGGCAGGCAGGCAGGCAGGCAGGCAGGCAGGCAGGCAGGCAGGCAGGCAGGCAGGCAAGCGAGAAAGAAAGAAAGAAAGAAAGAAAGAAAGAAAGAAAGAAAGAAAGAAAGAAAGAAGTATAAAGGATAGAAGGAAGGGTGGATGGAAGGAAGGAAGGAAGGAAGGAAGGAAGCAAAGAAAGAAAGAACAAAAGAAAGCAAGAAAAACTGAGGTGCGTTTAAAGATGTCAAATATTCACACGGTGGTGTTTGCTGGATCGTATTGAGCTCATAATCATGACAGCTTTAAGCTCGGAAAGGATCATCGAATTGCACTTTTCAGATGCTCAACGTGCAGGCTTCATTGCGCTTCTTGATCGTCTTGGCTGGATCCCCTGTTCTACTTGTTGTGTCTTAACCTTCCAAGTTGGCTGCATTTGGCTGCGCTGGACCAACAATGACACAACGTTGTGCACAGACATGCACGCAGTCAAGCTCCAATTTGCCTGCGCTACCGCGAGCTACCGCAAACTCAAGATGGTAAAGTTGGACCAACGTAGGCTTGCCGTGATGCAGACATGCTTCACAAAGCTAGCTCTCCTGCCACCAGTGTGCAACATGCAAGTTGGAAGAATCCCATGGTCGTTTCAAAATGAACATCCCTGGCGCTTATGTTTGTTTGGACATTGTTTGTCTCATTGAAAGTATTGGCTAGGGGAAGCCATCAAAACTCACAATGACCTGAATTTGAAATTAGTACTAATTCCGGCTTTTTTCGGAGGGTGCATTTAAGCTAATCACTGTTTTAAGGGCAGGCCCCCCAGGGGCCTGCCCTTAAAACAGTCGGTAGCGCTACCGACTGCTGTAAGCAACCCCCTGATTATGTTAAATGCACTTTGGACTGCCACCAAAACTGCTTAAAACAATCAAACAAGTCGCCCCGTTGATCTCAGGGGGTTGCTTACAGCAGTCGGTAGCGCTACCGACTGTTTTAAGGGCAGGCCCCTGGGGGGCCTGCCCTTAAAACAGTGATTATCTTAAATGCACCATGCGTTGAGGCCAAGATGGTACGTGTTACGTGATGATTAAAACAGTCTGCTTTCTTGAGTGTGTGTTTTAAGCCGTCGGAAAAATCAGCGACAAATAATCAGGAAAGTCTTCGATGGGCCTTGCTGTCAGGTCATGGTCTAAGGAGTGCAGGGCCAAATGTTTGGCTTCACTTCTAGATTCAGACTGGGCATAGTGGTTCAAAAACTCAACAATTGGAGAGGGACACCTCTGCTTCAGCCCACTGGCATGCGACACAGAGTCTACACATAGCGCGGCAGGGCTGCCTGAGCAGTATACACCCAAAATGAAAGGTTTCCGCAGTTTCCTTACAATGCCATGTTTATCCGGTTGGCTGTGCTGACAGAACAGCGGCATGAGCTACAAGAGCAACAGTTGTCGACTCAGATTTCTTTAGAGCAAGGGCGCAGATGAACGCGCATTGGCTTGATGATTACCATCACATGCAGACAGGACCAGACTTGCTGCCAAACTTCAGACAGCAGCTGCATTAAAGAAACACCCAATGAACACGATGAGCAGTGATTAAACGACTTTCCTAAATGCACCCCAGAAAAAGAGAATGAATAAATAATTAGAGAACGAGAGAGAGAGAGAGAGACAAAGAAAAAAGAGAGACAGAGAGACACAGAGAGGAGGAAAAAGAGCGAGAGAGAGAGAGAGAGAGCGAGACAGAGAGAGAAAGAGAGACAGAGAGACCGAGAGACGTTGTTTTAGGGTCGACAAAGCTACGCATTCAGCACGGAGTCGCAGCCACACAGCTTCAAATCCACGCCAGGAATAGGAGCAACAGGTGGGTGTGTCTCCAAGCCAGACCCTCCAGGCGGTTGGTTTCCTTTTGGTTTCCCTTTGGCACTAGGGTCTCCATTTTGAAACAGATGGCTTCATTCCATATGGTTAATTCTTCAGCGGAGTCCATCTGACTTCGACCAAACTGACCCAACAACACCTGCATTCAATACGCTTCCCGTTCAAAGAGCCATGCGAGAGGGTCGGAGAGTTTAACCTGCCGATTTAGATGTTCAAAGACAGGGAGTTGACATCGCACGTGCGCCAGCAAGCAGCACACCCAAAACTGACCTAAACTGATCCTTGGAAACCAAGCTGACCTAATCTAAGGACATCACATGCGTGTCAAGTTCTCCACTGCGCCTCATGGGCGCTTGCGACTGCGGCCATGGCGTCGATCTCTGGACCCACGTATTGCAGACCTGGGATCCAAGGAATTCTGGCTTTCCTTTTTAACCAAGGTGCAAAAAGAGAACCCTCAACACACACACACACACCCACACGTTTTAGGTTCTTAGAGGGTCCGCCCTCAAAGCACTACCCAGACAAGCGAACAACCTGGCCACACAACCACATAGACGCTTGGGGGATACCCATTTGTGAGGGCGTCCAGCGCTTCAAACCCCTAGGAGTGCCCGTATGACACATACCCAAATGGCACTAAATCATGGGAGTTCACACAAACAAGAGAGAGAGAGAGAGAGAGAGATGTGTGTGTGTGTGTATAAGAGAGAGAGAGAGAGAGAGAGATAAAGATAACGATAACGATAGCTATGCATGTTGATGAGGAATGTGGCAGTGATGCTTACTGGTTGGAACACCCTCCACAATGGGTGAACAGATTTGCTATAGGGATGGTGTCAAATCCAAAGGTTGTTTCAAAATCCAAAGGCTTGACTATGGGAGGTTTCACCCGAATTCTGACTGGGGCCGTTGCCAGACTTGCTACTGATAATGGATGTGGTGTCCTGCCGACTTGCCGACAGTGGCTCTGTCTCACACCAGCAACCTTGTGTCGTGGTGTCCCTTCACAACCCAAATAGAGTACCCTCAAACATTGTGTCTCCCAAACTCCGAGAAGCCTCCATACACGTTGAGCATACCCCAACTCTATGCGGATCCCTCATGAACTCAAAAAGGTATGCTCAAAATCTCGGGCAAGCCAATGCAAATCTCAGTGCGTTCCGTACCAGTCCTTTGGCAGGTTGGACATGATCTTGGACAGGAGCATGTACTTCATAGCTGTTCTGGCCTCGAAATCTACCCAATCGAAGATGGTGTGCACTACCCCCAAGCAACTACCCAGAGGTGTAATGGGACACACACACCTACCGTGAAACCACTATATCAAGAGGACTGGGCATGCTGAAAATAGCCAAAGGAAGAACGCCCCCCGCAACTAATCAACACAGAACACCTCAACGAACATCAGCCAAGCGTGAGGGTGTTTGCCTGCATGCCAAGTTTTAGAAGAGTACCGTTCTGCCCTTGGGGTTGAAAATCCGGCACGAGCTGGTGCCAAATGGTCTGCGGGTTCAGTCTTCTCCTCGAGCCCATCCCCACGCCTTGGTGGTGCTGTTGGTTTGGTGGTAGGCCTCAAAGGCCTCATAGAAGTAGGAGAAGGCCGTCCTGTGATCCTGCGCCCGGCATCTCCAGTCTCTGGACATTTCGGAGCTCAAAGGGTATACCGAAAGACTTCGGGCAAGTGGCCATGGTCATGGCTCTCTCGGTGACGATGGTCCAAAAACCCTGAAGGAGTGGGCAAGACCAACCCTGAGTATGACAGGTCTATCTCCAGCCTTCTCCCGTGCGCTGACAATCCCTGAGAGCAGGTCGATCTCAGCCTGCACAGCCCAGTGCGGTCCCTTCTCCGGGCCCCCACGCTGTCGCTCGACCCGCCTGGAGCAAAGGTGGGCAGTGAATTGCATTGGCCTCAGCGTCTCAGATGCAAGAACTTCTGGAATGTCACGGGGAAAATCGCTGGTCAAATGTTGGAACCTGCCTGGGGAATCCAAGATGATTTACCTCCAAAAGGGACCCTCACGGGCTTCATGTTAGTGGGAGGGTAGATGATACTAGATGATGTACTGCTCAGTTTTGTTGGATGACTTTGCTTGTGGAGTAAGAGTAAAAGAATACATTGCGCGGTTGAGTCACAAAAACTTGGTATTAAAAGGCGTCTACGCAAGACCATGTCAACGTGAAGAATGAAAGGCCGGATATCCACGCCTATCTCCTTCTTTTGAGGGGGGCCTGTCCTTGACAAAACTTCATCTACCCAGTACCCAGGTTTTGATTGCGGCTCTGTTCTGCTTCATCAGGACTCCCCAGGTCGCTGGCATTGGTCTTTGCCGCAGTGAGTGCAGCCTTCGCCTGCGACGCGTTGCGACCCCTGTCTCCGCAAAAAACGTCGATGCCCTCGGTGTCCCTCGTAGAGAAGAGTGCATGGGATGCTGGGCTTCAACCAACATTCTTTTGAGATTCGACTATGGTATTCGTTGTTGGTTGGGTCCTATCTTCATTGCATGTCATATCTTTGTCACATGTTTCCGGATGCGTGTGATGCTCAGGGATCCTTGCAACCATTGTTTCTTTGGCAAAATAGGTGGATTCAACTACAAATAAAGCAAGCTAAACCAAACGAAACCATCTGTATTCAACCAAGCTAGCCTAAGAGGAGATGGTCGATACCATGTCCGTCCCAAACTTCGACGATGCACGCACGCAACCTGCCGAAACATGTGGGACAAGGAACTTCCGGTTTCAGATGTTCAAAGACTTGGTCGGAGGGGCGTACCCTATTTCGTCTTCCGGCGCCTTGGGCATGTTCTGCACGGCGTAGTGGACACGGCACTCGATGTTGTGGATCCTTGGCACGCGCTTAGGGTTCCCTTGGAGGCTTTTTGAGCGCAACCACTTTAAGGGTTCAAAGGGGGTCCCCTTGGTATCAGAGGTGCTAAAACCAAGTGTTCAACAACCATTGTTTGCGTATGTGTCAAAATAGGAGCACCCCCAACAATGCTAGTATTCCCCTTGGCTTCCTTTTAAACCAACCTGAAAAGGGTGCCCTGAAGAAAAACAAACAAGAAGAAGTTCGCCCCCTGCGGCCCGCTCTCCCGAGGGCTCGGCTCCACCAGCAGAAGCTTGTCGTCCAGCTTCTTGACTTCGGTGAGCAGCTTCCTGTCCGCTCCCCCCAACCTCCAAACATCAAACTTAAGAGATATCTTAAATAAGGGGGATATCTTCTTGGGTTCCTTCCAGTGCCCAGGGCAGCATACCTAGACTGAAAGGTGGGTACTGGACCTATTGTTTTGGGGTGACACGGAGACTCCAAGTCAATCGGGTTGGTCTCAACATGGACCCCTCAAAATGGTTGGTGTCCTTTTGGATGCCCTTCCCACAAAGTGTGCTCCCTTTGTGAATTGCTTAAGCTCGGTACCCTTTGTGGATGGTTGTATCAAAGGCAAACCGAAGGGTAGCTGGGCTTCATCTTGGTTTTCCTCAATCTGGCCCAACCAGCGAACCCTGCTGCTCACACATGCGTCATGCCAACCAAGCCTTGGAACCCTCCAACCTGCGCCAGAGGCACCCCAAACCCCAGCTCCGCGACTCTGACCATATTGCCAAGGCTCGTCAGCAGCTCTAACGAATCCTGGTACTTCAGCTCGACCCTTGGTTGTGGGATCTCCCAAAAGCAAACATGGAACCTGAAAGGTATCCCTGAAGACCGTTTTCCTCTAACAGGGATTGATTGTCTTTTGCAGGGCAGCCCTTCCTGTTAGCACCAAACCGGTTGACTACTCTGTGGACGTTGGTCCAGTAAATGGAGAGCTTCTGAAAATAGTGAGGCCCTAACATGGTTGGTTTTCGTTTCGCTTCCCTTCAAATTCCAAACAGAAGAGCGCCAGAAACGCTGAAATAGGAAGGTGAGCAAACCACCGCGGAACTCAGGGCCCGGCAAGTACAGCCCGGCGAGCTTTGTCTCCACTCTGTGGCGCCTTAGCGATAAGAAGCTCTAAAAATATCCACCTGATCCTTACCATTCGGTGGATGAAAGCATGGCTTTGATGGACAGTTTGTAAATCGGGCCCTACCCAGCAAGAACGTCTCCCGCGGCCCGGGGGCCTTAGTTTGGGAGACCCTGTTTTTTTAACCCCACAACCAGTGGTTGGGAGGTCGATCAAACAGAGGTTTTGGTATTTCGCCTACAAGCGGGGAACCACGGCATGCAAGGACATTCCACGAGGCTGCGACAGGAAGGTTCTCTTTTCGCCTAAGCAAGGCGCAAGTGAAGGTCTGCCATGAGTTCAGTTCCCTGCCTCGAACAGTGGAGCTGAAAGTGGGTCTGGGGATATCGCCAAATTGTGGACCTCTTCTTGGACCCCTATCAACATGGGTCCCTATTTTTACAGTCGCGCAATGCCAGAAACCCAGAAACCAGCAGGCACGTGCGCGCCTTTGCACCATTCGATGCAGTCCTTGCACATCTCTATTTGCAAAGCCTGGCGCGTGCAAAAAGCTCACCCCCAACCATGGCAATGAGTTCTGCTTGGGGACTCTTTGGCCACTCAAGTTTGGAGGGTTTTCCAACATAGCCGCGCAAGCCAGGTCTGCAATCAAAGCCCCCCCCCCAAAGGCATTCAACATACCGTATTAACATACCCCAAAATGAACAAGGAGTGGTATAGCCGCCTGCACAAAGTGTGGCTGGGACATGCTGGGACTCCTGGGACTGGGGGCAATGAAAAATGAGCCGCAGCGCCTGGGAACCCTCCGTCTTTGCCAACAGGTCGATGAGGTGTCTAACGATCTTGGCCGTTTTCGCCTGGCACAGACATGCGGTGAACAAACAGCCCAGACATTTAGTCGCGTGAAAGGACCAAAAAAGGACTCGCTAGTATTACTGAGTTGCCCGGGCTTCTTTGCAATGCAAGCAAAAGGGAGCTCAGTGTCCGGCAGATGGAGAGGCCTAGCTACTTAGTAGTTTGCGGTCGTTGAGGAACCAGTCATTCCTCTTTGAGACGTCCAAAACCACCTTTACAAGGGGATCCTCTTGATTCGCAGGCATTTGTGTGATTTGGTTTTAAACTGGCCCAAATTTGTGTCCTTGAGACCGTGAAAAAGGTTATAGGCTTAGTTGCAAGGTAAAACCACGGGTCCCACAAGCTGACCCGCCGGAGCTGGCGAAGTTCAGTTCCAAAGAAGCTGAGCCTCCCCTCCTGAGTGGACTCAACTGGTCAAAAAGTACAAAGTCCAGAAACTCGGGAAGTGAGAGGCACAACTCCACGGACGGCATCTTGTCCAAGGTTTCGTCACATGCTTCCCCCGTCAACTTCCTAGGGGTCCTCTTGGAACAGGGATGGATTGTGGTACCTGAACATCAGACCAGACTGCAACCAGTGTTCCATGCCCTTGTCTCCCCTAACCATTAGTTGTATCTTAGAATGAGATCATCAAATTGTTCTTAACAAGTCCTGCTGAAGCCACCAGCCCCAGCCTTCGGCAGATCGGCAAAGAGGGGCCGCAGGTCCTGTCAAACGGGTCACCCGGATGGCTGGCTCATCTCTAAGGTTGGACCCACAAAAATGGTGGGACTCCTGTTGGTGTCGTGTTAGAACCACACCAAAAGGGCACCCGAAGAAACACATCACAATCATCACCTTGTACTAAAATGCAGGTGGGGCCACCGCTTGCTTAAATCATAATGTAAAATGACCCTGTTCAAACAGGCTCCTTTTGGTCTCCCTTTTCCGGGGACCAGGGTGCAGGTGTTTAGACCACTTTTGCCCCAACCTGCTGCACAGGTCTACCCAAAACCATGCAAAGAATCAGAAGGGCGGATATCCGCACCTATTTCTGGCTGGGGCCGCGCCTTCACCTTCTCTAGCCCCAAGTTGCAACTCTGACTCAAATGGCTCTCCAAGAGCCCTTCCACCACCTGCAAACCAGCCCCAAAGGGACAATGTGATCTACTGGTCTGGCATTTGGGTGATCTTCAACCTGGCCCCAGCTGGCATCCTTTAAGGGACCCACATTTAGAGCACACTGAACAACACCCTCCCACGCCCTCAAACGTGGCCTTGCTGAGGGTGGAGATGTCTTGCGGCAGCTTCTTTGCCACCAAAAGATCACCAAGGGCCTGAGATGTGTCATGCACGCTTCCAGTCTGAGAGCTACTACCCCGCTTCTCTCTGAAACATGAACTCCAGTTTCTGAATAAAGGTCATTCCTGGAAGCACCCACGATCATGAACCCGGCCGGCGTAGCAGAAAGCTCATGCAACGAGATGTGACATGGTCCAACATCTTCAAAGGGGAGTGGGACATCATGGCAATTATTGAGATGTCAGTTTTCCGTAGATTCCGGTGGAAGGACTGCCAATTGCGAAGCCCAAGTGAGCATCCTCTCTGGAAAGCAACGAATTGGTGTGGTTGTTCAAACTTTGCAACCTGGTGAACTGGTGAGAAATAAGGGTTTGGTAAAATCTAGTAAATCACGTATTCCTGTTTGGTTGTTGTTTGGCAAACTCGAACCTCGGAAATCATGTGCAATGTGTCTGTATACTTTCTGAGGGTAGCCTTGGGAGGGTTTTGAAAGGCAACCAAAAGGACGCCACCCGTCTTGCGGGTCCAAGTCCCCATGGCACACACCAATTTGGCAGTGAAGCTCAGGCTCCCGGCATAGATGGCCTTTTCTCTGTACTTGGCATTCGGGTCCTCTCGGCTCGGAAAAATGGGCAGGCGCCAAACAGTTTCCCACAAAGCCTTCGTCCAAATACCGTCCTCCTCGCCTTTGCAGAGCTGCGTTTCCCGTGAAATCTATACAGCGACAAGCGCCCCTGGCTTTGACACAGCTAGCGGAACCCCCTGCTCCACATATGCTTTAAGGGTATCATGTCTTGGCTTGAAAGGAAGGGTTACCACGGAAAACCAGGTCTTTCAACATATACCCCGAAGGAAAAAGGGTATATGAAGTGGGTGGGGAAAGAGAACATAGGGGGGAAGGATTCGCAGTTCTGCGATGTGTGTGTGTGTAAAGAACGCGGCAAAATGGGAGGCGTTTCTGCGCTTCTAGTAAAGAATGCGGGAAAGTATGAGAAAAAGTGTTGTTTGTGTTTGTGGGAGATATCGCGAACTCATGCCCCGGTAAACGGACCATAGACAAATCAGGATATGACCTAACCCTCATCGAGCACCCGAGCATCCGAGCCTCGAGGTCCTGCTTGAAGATGATTGCCTTGTAGGCCTGGAGAACTCCAGGCGGCCGTTGGCCGACCCAAGAAAGATAAACCAAAAAAAATCGGTCCTTGAAATCTCGGGGTAAGTCTTTAAGGGTTTGCTCAAGGAACGGCAACGCAAGTGCGCAGCGCCAAGAATACAGAAAGCAGCCTATGGAAAGCCATTTGAAGCAAACAAAAGGTGGACAAATGCACGAGCGGCCGCAGTCACATCAACCAAATGCTAAAGAAAAAGAGGACAACTAAAGCACGGGTGGTTGGCTTCTTTTTTGGTTTTCCACGCCAAACAAAAGGGGGCCTCTCATGTGGGCATAAATTTGAATTGCAACCCTTTGGCGGACATCAACTACATGGAGATTTCTGTCCACCAATATTCATCGCCATCCAGGCTTGTCTCAAAATCCCCCCCCCCCCCGCCCAAATTAAATGGTTGGTGTCCTTTATCCTCTAAGCAAATTTACCAAAAGGATACTTTCATTGGGAATGTGTCCACGGCTCACACCATCGAAAACCCCATTCCTCGCCTCCTTCGCCTTCGAGACATCGCTCGCCTCGAGGCTCAAAGCCTGAACAGGAGGCTCGAGCCGGTGCAGCTGAAACAAGCTGCGGATGTACATGGAACACGAAACTCCTAAAAGGTGATTCCTGTACAAATGCTTGTTTCTCGGGGTTCACGTCAATCTGCGGAGAAGTAAGGAAACCACCACGCCAACCCCCTCCCCCCCTCGCGTTCAGAGGAAAGGAGAGAGGCACCTTTCCTTGCGTTCCATGTGGGTGCGTTTGTTGCGGCTCGGTACCCTTTGGTTTCCTTGGGTGTGGTAATTGAACTGTCCCTAGGAGAACCAGGGGACGGACCCTACACTTCTTCCGCTTCCTTGTGCCCCATTTGGACACGCAATGACAGAGGCTTCCTTGCATGGGGTGGGTCCATGAAAGTTATATCCGGAAAATAAAACTCTAAATGGTTCCAGGGAAACCATGAGGTCCCAGTAACTCGGTAGTGAATTCGACAGGTCCCTCAAAATGCAGCAACCATAATGGACGCAACGGACTTCATGTTCCGAAAGCTCCTTGTCCAGAAGGTCCTCGAAGATCTTCTTGGCACTCTCGGAGGCCTTGGGGATATGGAATGCCTTTGGCCAACGTTCAACTCGAATTGGCCAAAGTTCTAATTTCGGGTAGCTCCACATGTTAAACACAAAGCGCGCCTCTACCTCCTCATCCACCTCCATCGGGTCATTGCCCTCAGAATGCGAGAATACTATGTGCAAATCGCACATTGCCGAATACATTGTGAATGTGCAACATGTCACAATCGCTGGTTTGCAACGGAAACACAAAAAAATCATTTCATGGGAGGGGGGGGGGATTCGTTGGAATGGACTTCAACTAAGCCGACACCCCCCAAACCACAAGCGACGCACAGCTTCAGTGCAGTCCTCACCCGCCATGGCAGACTCTTGCAAGTCTTCAGGACTATCAACTCGAGCCGAAACATCCCGAGAGAATCTCCAACCTGTGCTTCCCGGACTCCCGAAAAACGTCCTTTATTGCCCGAAAAGGTGATGTTTAGGACGGAAAGGGGAAATATAAGGACTCGTGTCTTCCACACGTTCTTCAACACGTTCTTCCACACGTTGGCTTGATCGCCAGTTTTAGTTTCCCGGACACTGTGACTGATTGTAGGGTAAAGTGTCTGCAAACAGCTGCAACTTGGCTTTAGGTATCTTATTCAGAAGAGAAACTTGCAATTCAGGCGATGGCAAGAAGCTCTTTCCAAAGGGCGGGGGGCACGCCAAACAAACAGCCCCACTTAGATGGTTTAAGAGAGCTCAGTGATTAATCTTCAGTTCAACCCCTAATTCACCACTTCACCCCCTTGTAAACCCTTGTCACGAGGCTTACAGTCGCGTGCAAGTAGATGGTACAATTCTCCAGCTTCGTTTTTGTCAGCGGCTGTACCCACATACAGGAAACTGTGCCAACTGCTTTCACCCGGGTGCAGCTGTGGGTGTATCATCAGCTCAGGTACACCATGGCACCTTGAAAATGGTTGCCAACTCCCAAGCAAGGAGGGTCCCAGCCTCGAAGGAGATGACCTGTGAACGCCCGGGCAAAGGGGAGTCAAACCTCGTCCTTTGGGACAAATCCTCTCTACTCCAAATGCCCACTTTTGTTGGCTATTTTTTAAAGGCTGGCTTCCTTTTTAGTCAGGGGTTCACATGACACCCTAAAAAAGGTGGGGATATTTGGAGAAGGGGTAGATTTGGTGTTCCTGTTTCCTAGTTCCGTGAGTGAGCTCGCTGTATTGGTAATCCGTGAGCCCAAATGGACTCCACTGGTACTCCCCTGCAGATCAACATGGAACCCAAACAACCACCATTTGTAGACGAAACTCTGCTTGGGGGACCCCTTTTGATGTTGCAACACACCAACTGAAAGCTCGCCTGGGACTATGGCGCCAGTCAAACCATATCCAACGCGTGGTACTGAGCCCGAGTTCCCAACCGGCTCCCCAAACACATGTCCGATCTAGCTCCAGTTGAGACTTCCCCAAGGTGTGTCTCCAGGGAGGTGTTTGGGGGGTCCCCTAACGGAGGTTTAACTGTAGGGTTTGGATGTTTTGCATAGTGCCTCATGTGATGCCTCGCATGTGCTTATGTGCAGATTAGGTGCCGATTTGTCTGAGGTGGAGAATAAGTGGATGGTGGGAGTCTATATATATATATATATATATAAGTGACCCTACGTCGGCAGGCAAACAGCTAAAGGGAAACAGCTCAAGTTTTTGACTTTGATACGCCGCAGAAACAATCAAAATAATGACCTTTGGATATGTCTCAAATGGGGCACACATTTTTGGGTCCTTCAAGGGCATCTGGGCAAACTTGAGATTACCATCATCAAAATGGCTATGCAATGGAGCTCTTTGCTTGTATGAGGTGTCTTGGGAAACACAACCATATGGCGCATGCAAAGAGCTGGCACTCACACACCAGCTCTTTGACCCCCAAACACACCAGACCTGAAACACACACACACACAAACAAACAAACAAACAAACAAACAAACAAACAAACAAACAAACAAACAAACACCAAGCACACTGGGTGGATTGTCAAACTGGCCAACCTCAAGGATATGTGCCGTCAGCTTTTTGCTTCCCATCAGCGGCATGCATTGCCCATTCTAAAAGAGCAAGCATATCGCCAAAAACGCAGGAACATAACATTGTCTAGACAGGGGACATCGGCCGTTGCATAGTGACCATCAGTGTAGCTCTTTGAAGAGGCAGGCACAAGGAGTGGTTCCACAAGTTGTAGGTGCGATCCTCAGAACCTGATTGTGTCCCGAACTTGCTCATCCCTGTTCGCACGTTGTCTTCTGTGTGCATCGACCAGAAGCTTCACGCCAACTTCACGCAGTCTCATCGCGCAGTTTTTGTTCTCTCTGCCAAGCTCTGCCGTGCACCATCTGCACTTCTTTGAAGCACACGTCTGCCAAAAGCAAATCTGAGGACACTGCGGCTGCAGTTGGCGACCTGAGACCAACCATCCGCGTCCAAACTGGAAGTTCGACCAAATGCGGGCAGACCCAGTGATATTACCCGTGCGCGCCTTCAGGCTGACATGGAAGCTCCCAAGACCCTTACAGAAGAGGACTTCCTCTCTCAAGGGGTGGGTGGCTTCAATGCTACGTATGCGACTCGTGCTGCCCAGCAGCTTCACTCGAACCAATCCAGCAGCACAAACCGATCCTCGCAATTGCAATTGCAATCTGGGCAAATGGAAACCAATAAAAGTCGGTGGATGAATTCCCCACAAATAAAGAACCGCTGTTGGAGGGGACGCCAACTTGGTTGCTTCGTCATGGGCAGTCAGCACAAGGTCCTGTTTGACGTTTCTTTTGCGTGTATCACTCCAACAATCATCTTGACGGCAGTGCATGCAACTTGCCAACTTGCACACCTGCTGCGTACAACTAGTGTTGCAGCGCCCACCACATGCGATATCAGCCCGCTCACGTTCAGCATGCCAGTGCTGAATGAGACACGCCCGTTTGACCAACGTAGTACTTTGCGGAAACATGTTTTCTCTTATTTCATTGACCCCTCTCTAAGAGTTTAACTTTGGATATATCAAAAATCCTTGTGAACTGTCAAAGTCTACAAGTGTTGCAAGTCAAAGTCCAAGGAAGCCTCTGACTAGAACCGCCAAACATCTCCATCCCAAACCTTTGAGTCAGTCCTCAAACTCACAGCTGGCAACCGGCGCCGGTCGCCCCGCCTGGCGCAACGAGATGCCAGGTGCGTCTGCGTCTCTGAAGAAAAGGGCAACCCGTGTTTGTTCGTTTGTTTGCTTGTCTGTATGTTTGTCTGTTTGCCAGTCATGTTAAATGGCAGGTAGAAGGCATAGTACAGAACCCTTCTCACTCCAAAGGACGTACGTTCTGTGAAATAGAAAGCCAGCTGGATAAAAGATCAACAACGTGATGCTGCCCAACAACCCGTCGAGTGTCAGGCAATGCTTCCCCAAGGCTTCCTAAGCCCTGCAAGAGAAGCCCTTAATCTTTAAGCCTAGGGGGGGTACGGGCTCCAGAACGGGATCAAAGTCAGTGTCCCCCAAAGGCACAAAGCGTCTCTCTTCTCTCGGACACTTGAGGGAAGCTCTTAGGGAACTGTGAAAAGCTGATTGGGCAAGAAATACCAGCAAAATCTGCAATTTGGTTGGAAAGGGACCCTTACAAAAAGGCCTTAAAGGAGCCTTTAGGGAGCCTTAGAGAAACCTTGAGGAAGGCTTAGGGACGCCCTAGGGAACCCTTAGAGAAACCTTGGGCAAAGCATGTTTGCCGAAAGCTTAGGGCAATTCGAATCTGTCATGAATTCCCTAGGCTCGGAAAGCTTGGGGGACGCAACAGAGTAACGCAACTCGAAGGTCCTATCAAAATCAAGGGGTCTCTTAGGTTCAGCTTTGGAAGGCTTGGGGAAAATGCTGATATAGCAGCTTCCTAGCCACCCCCGGGTAAGGGGAGGGTTTCTTGGGGGGGACACGCATTCATAATCTCAAGGCCGAAGTGTCGGAGGCCATAGTGATCAGCTTTGGTCACTGTCCAGTCACGCAATGACACCCCCGAATGAGCAGTGCCTCAAACCCATCGACTTTGGGTTCTAGCAACATGGTCAAAAAGGTTTGTAAAGGCCCTACTACAAGCCCATTTCAAGCTGGTAGTAGAAGCACATTCTCTAAAAAAGAAAAAATAAACTGTGGTTCTGGGCGTTGCTCAAGTAGCAAGTGGAAATCCACCTCCCGAACCAGCGAAGGTTCGTCGCTCCAGCCTCCCAACTCGGGATACAAGATGTATGCCCCGGCCTCACGCGGGAGAAATGGAAGTTCCCACCGACTCATGGTAACACGTTCAGCCCGTTTTTCAATGAGGGTTGGGAAAGCGGCTTGGAGACATGACCTGATTAGTTGACTGGCCAAACAAAGTTTAAACTTGTACGGCCTTTGCTGGAAGGACGAAGAAATTAACCAACAACAAGCATGAAGTTTTGTCAACTTCGCAGGCAAGCCGCCAAAGGCTAGTCCGTATTCGTCAAGCCAGAAATCTGGCATGATAAAAATTCCCTAGGCCGCCGGCAGCTTGCAGTGCAGCTGCGTCCAATTTCGGGACGTCTTCCGTGCTGAGCTATACTTCCTGGGCGTACGAGCGTCGTGTCCAAAAGATTGCAACTTTGCACATTCCTGCAAGACATCTTTACATGTTGGCTTGAAGGGGGCCTCCCGCCCAGAAGTACTTGCGCGTAATTGCTTGTAGGCGCGCGTGGTTGTGTTGAGTAGTTGTATCAATATTATTGGTGTGTGTGTGTGTGTGTGATTGTGTGTGTCTGTGCGTGTGTGCGTGTGCACGTGCGCGCGCGTGCGCGTGCGCAGGGGCGCATGCGCGTGCGCGTGCGTGTGCGCGTGCGCGTGCGCGTGCGCGTGCGCGTGCGCGCGCGCGCGTGCGTGCGTGCGTGCGTGCGGGTGCGGGTGCGGGTGCGGGTGTGGGTGTGGGTGT